GGTATGCATCATTCGTTGAAGGATTTGGTAGATATTTTTATGCTTAACTTATGATAAATGGTAAAATGAGACTCAATGGGAAGAAGGATTGATAAGACCAGGAAAAATTTTGAATGCAAATATGTTTTAGCTTTATATTGGGATTTGATTATGGAAACCGAGGACCGTGTGCTGCTTACAGGCATGTTAGTGGTACTGAATCATGGAAACGACTAGCCCTCGCAGTGTGCCGGGCAATATTTTATTTTGCATCGTCTCAAGAAAAGGAATGAATGAAAGAAACCTGCGCTAAATTTTCATTCGAAGAATTAATATATTTGTCCGTTAATAAACTTGTTTCTCCCATTGGTTTACTTTTTAACCACTCATCCACCGCCACTGATAGCATATCGTCTGCAATATTTCTCTTCTGATATTATATAAATTAAAATAAATAATAATTGATGGGCCGTTTTTTCTCAGTCTTCTTCTGCAATAATCTTTAATTCTATCTTCACACTTTTCGACTGAATTAGATCTGTCAGAAGTATTTGAATTTTACAGTAAACCGGTGGAATACAACATTTGCCGCTTGGATAAGCTCGACTGCCGGAAATATTAGAAAAATAACTTTTAACGATGGTACCACTCTATGGGATCCCTGTCTGATCATGAAATTATTTTTATGTCTTAACCTAATTGTAATTATCGCTTAAACCAAATCAAGATGGTTGTTGGAGAATTTACTTGTAACTCTATTTTCAAATATTTAGACAAAAGATCAATCAAATGTATTCCTGTTTCTGTGGGTTTTCTGGCAGATTATTTGGCAATTTGGCATCCAGAAAAGAATGATTTTGTGGGTTCTCGAGCTGAATAGCCAGTAAAGAAACTGTGGCCTATATTATTTACAACATAAAAAGTTCAATCGAACTATTAAGCCAACAGGTCATTTAATATGTTCCATAGAATAACGCGCATTTTAAATATTTAATGATTTTACTCCTATTAACATAATATTATTCCCCTCTATTTCAGTCATACTACTATCGGTTTTATTTTCATTTTTATGATTTTACTGCTGTGCATCAACATAAACCTGCATGTCTACAGAACTCATTAAATTATAGGAAAAAACAATTGTAGCGCATTGTTCGACATCAATTTCTCAAATTTTAGTATCATCTCTCTTCTTCTCCTCCCTCTCCCCTCCTTTCCTCATTTATCTTTTTACTTATTCCTATTAACATAATATTATTCCACTCTATTCCAGTCATACTACTATTGGTTTTATTTTCATTTTTATGGCAGATAAAATTTTGCTCTATTAACTTCGCTACACCGACAAAATTGCCCGTACTGATAAAAAGTGAAGTTGGCGAACTGCACAGTTTGGAGAATCTTGAATAAGCTAATGAAGTATTCCATTTGGGTGACATCAATGAAGAACGTGTAATTAGAACAGCGCAGAATGTCCTCCCGAATAATGCAAACAAGAAGAAACACTTCTCTTCTTGTTCGTCTTGTATATATTCATATAGTGATAACAAAAGACAAAAATTATTATCATATATCTCAATGTATGCCATTTGTTGTGGGCGATTTTAAGGAAGACTGGGCCTATAGTCTATAGAACTTTTAAAATATTTTATTTGCCAAACCATATATAAACTTGCATCCTGGTAAAAGAAATGAATTCCACTTAGAGATGTGATTTAGATAGAGAGGAAAAACATACTCATTTCTACTCATTGGTTGAACTTAACAGTATAGGTACCTACTGCGTTTATTAACAGTTTCACATTTTATCTACCATTTTATTTATCTTAAAGGTTGGCAGAATCGTATTTCATGCAATTCACCAGAAAAATTGGTGGAATTGTAGTGTTTTTTCAAATAATAACTTCATATAAATATAAAACTTTGCAGATTTCGTTGATTAAAACATAAAAGCACACCTTTGGGGTCGTTTTCAAGAGTCCAGTTCGCAAACAAAGTTTCACCAACGCCATCGCCATAAAAATACTTAAGGAAATATTCGGAACGATCATAATGGCATTTGTCTACGTGTTCCTGAGCCAGCTTCTCCAATGTGCAGTTCCATCTCTTCGAATAAAATTAGAATTAAAATATGGTCCAAAGAAAATTGTAGAAAACAATCACTAACGGATTGCACACGGTATTTGACAGAATATTATTTATTAAAATTATATAAAACATTAATAAAATATCAATAAACATTAATAAACATTAGTAATAACCAGTTTGTACATCTCCTTGGCTGCTGGATACGTTCCATCTGATGTCGAGAACTGGCCCATAGCAACTTTCGTCCGAATGTCATTAAGCTTCTTCAAAATATTTTCTCGACCAGCCGAAGTAATCTTCGACACAGGACATAAATCATCACCATAAGTTATAAGTCCTGAATTTATTTTCTATTAATTTAAAATTTCATAGTTCATATTTGTGATTTAATGTGAACGAGAAAAGTTCTCCATTAAAATTAACTTACCAAATTGGAATAGAAAAATAGCCACTGCTAATAGCATGGTGATACAATATTCTTTGAATAGATTTTTGGGACATTGGTGAGATTTCCTTCACTTATAAAAGGTTTAATACGTGAAAAATAGAAGTAAATACACAAAAATTGCTAGAAAAAATTTACCCAGAGTATTTTTATTTCCTTTTTGGCATTTTTGATTTATTCGCTAAGCAAAAAAATCTTTTTGTGCTCAAATTTACTTTTGTAAATAATATCAGGAATTTATCCCAGCATTCTATAACGAAATATAACAAAAAAGAATATTGGCTTCTAAAAATTTTGTTCTAACAAAACAAATAGAAATTTTCATTGTTCAATTTTTATTGCTTTTTTAGAATCATTGTTTATGAAAGTCTTTTAATTAAGGGAAAATTTCACTTTTTCGTCCGAATGTCATTAAGCTTCTTCAAAATATTTTCTCGACCAGCCGAAGTAATCTTCGACACAGGACATAAATCATCACCATAAGTTATAAGTCCTGAATTTATTTTCTATTAATTTAAAATTTCATAGTTCATATTTGTGATTTAATGTGAACGAGAAAAGTTCTCCATTAAAATTAACTTACCAAATTGGAATAGAAAAATAGCCACTGCTAATAGCATGGTGATACAATATTCTTTGAATAGATTTTTGGGACATTGGTGAGATTTCCTTCACTTATAAAAGGTTTAATACGTGAAAAATAGAAGTAAATACACAAAAATTGCTAGAAAAAATTTACCCAGAGTATTTTTATTTCCTTTTTGGCATTTTTGATTTATTCGCTAAGCAAAAAAATCTTTTTGTGCTCAAATTTACTTTTGTAAATAATATCAGGAATTTATCCCAGCATTCTATAACGAAATATAACAAAAAAGAATATTGGCTTCTAAAAATTTTGTTCTAACAAAACAAATAGAAATTTTCATTGTTCAATTTTTATTGCTTTTTTAGAATCATTGTTTATGAAAGTCTTTTAATTAAGGGAAAATTTCACTTTTAAAATATAATTTTCTGTTAATATAGCGCTTATAATATGTGACTTATGGATTTCTACCCGTGAATTTTTCCTATTTCAGCGATTCCATCTTGCATTTTTTATGAAATTGGATAATTTCGCAGATCGTTTTATGTCATTTCTTAAGTATTTTTAATGGTGAATATAAGAAATAGTGTCAAAAAATTCTTCTCTGGTCATTCATTTAAAAAAAATGAGAAACGTTTTAAAAAATATAATTTAAAAATATTAGAAGTTTTTGAATTTTCAAAAACGTTAGTGGCTCAGTTTATTAAAAAATATACTCAACAGAATGAGAATAATGGAAATCAGATAATATTTCGGAGACTTGACTTAGGCATTCATCTTTTTTTAAACGTAAGGCCAAAGTAAATGTTGCAGAAATGAGAACAAGAAAATTCGCTATAGAACAAAAAGGACGAAGTTTAATAATAATAATAATGGTTTGAGGTTACAAATTAAATTATAGTTGTTGTATTTTATCATTTTTTTTAAAACTGGAAGCTCACAGGGTAAGGTTAACATCACATGGTAATTTATTCCAGTAGTAAATACTTTTATTGAAGAATACTTTTATGGCATCGGATGTAAGTCTGTGAAATGGGGCAATTTCAATACATTATCTCTTTAATGTACTTCCTGACAATTTTGAAACTGCAGTTCGACTAAATACAAAATGTATTTTTTGATGTTTTTAAATTTTTTTTTGAATTTTTTAAATTATATTTTTTAAAACGTTTCTCATTCTAAAACTTTACTGCCGATATTAATATTAAGCCGACATTTTTGCCTTCAAAAGGTTTTCCAAAAGGTTTTTCAAAAGGTAGTCTACTATTTATAAAATTTAATTAAAAATAAATATTGCTCCATTTGAAACTCCAAAGATTTTAAAAACTTATGAAATTTCTCATTTTTAACTTCTACAGGAGGTTAAACATGTGGTGCAGCGGTGGCACAAGATTGCCACCGAGAATGGAGGACTTTGGTCCGGTGCACCACTTTTCGTCGCGTGGCAATATCGCCTTAATGGCAAAAACAAGGGAGAGTGGAATGCTTCAGCAAAATATTGCTCAACTCGAGGCGCTGATGCTGAGGTTCTGCTCTCGACAGGAGTAAACATTTATGTATGAATATAAGTAAACAAATAAATATCCTGACACATTTCTCTAGCTCGACAAGCCAGCGAAGCGAGTATAACCTGCAGTGCTAACTGTTTTTAAAACATGAGAGTCGCTTTCATTTGTATTAAGGTAGACGAATTTAAAAGTATGTTTAGCAGTGGTTTTTGGTTCGTGAACGTTAGTTAATATCTTTTAAAGCTCAGATAGAATAATAATAAAAATAAAAATTGCAAAACAGCGATCAATTTTACAAAAATTTGAGATTGATTAATTATTTTCGGCGTTATTGTGATTACATCCTTTGATATTTGTCGATTAATTTTGGTCATATCTAATCGATTAGAATATATTGCAACTCGGTAACTTCTTTTGATTTATGGTACTTTAACCTGAGAAAATTCTGAATTTTGAACCACGAGAGTTGAATTTTTTCACTGAATTTTACATTTCAATAAAAATTGAAAATATTACTATTCTGAAATACAGTTTTTTAAGAAATAATTAAATTGTTTGATAATAAGGAATATGATTGAATTATGGATTTCTGCCTTTAAGCTTTAATAATTTTCCCTATAGCATTTCATTTTGTATTTTAATTCCGTATTTACAAAATTTTTGTGTTTTAATAAATTTCCATGTTGCCTGATTTTTCTCAATATCATTGTATTGATTAGTTATTTTATAAATTATTTTGCGTTACTTTTATTGGCCCACGTATTTACCATTATCAGTCGGGTCATATCATGCATTAGAAAGTGTCAACAAGCATCTCTCTGGTTTCTTCCTCTATATGAATATTTGAATATTTAAATTATTGGCTTTATTAAATTCTTCGCAATTTTTCAATTTATTGGAAGCAGACAATAAACAAGCATCATAAAAATTTTACATTTATTTACATTAATGATAAATTCATTTATTTTTTCAAATAATCTCGTCATATTAATTTTTTTCAATGTTCTTCGTTTGAGAATATTTTTTATGCAAAATAAACAAAGTTTGAACCCATATCGTTCATAAATTTTATATTTTTATAAAACCAATATTTTTATTACCATTTAGATTGAATGATTGAACTAATTGCCGTCAAGGACTAATAAATACTGATTGGTATTGATAGTATCAGAGGGAATGAAATTATAAAAGCAACTTTCTCTATGACCAACAATATAGAGGGTGGTAAATTTTATATTTGCTTTGTTGGGCTTCGGTAACACTTGGGGAATTGAGCGAGCTCAATTAGCTTCGGTCTTATTTCTAAATCAAATTATGTTCTCCAGAATAATTTTCATTTAATTTAAAGCTTACAACTGAAATTTATTTGCAATATTCAGTTCTGTCTACAAGGCGATTTGAATATTTTTTTTCATGTATTTTTCAAATATTAAAGTGGTCACTTCTTTTTGGTTTATACTAATTCAATTTGTTATTCTAGCTTATTGATATATGGTACAACCAACTCGTTTAAAGAATGTAATTATGGTGAATATTTGAATGTTTAGGATATATAAACTTTTTGTTAATTTAAATATGTATACTTTATCGAGTTACTAAGTTCCGTATTATTTATTGCCACCATTATCTCCACTTTATTTCACATTTAAATTATCGTCATTCCTAGAGTAAAAGACTCCATCATCATGTAGCAAAACACTCGCGTCGTTCCGCGTAAAATATAGGAACAATGAATGAAAGGAATATAGGTTTACTAGAAGAATATTTCCTTTATGGCGATTACACCATATTTCTGCTTATCAGATGTCTTGTAATAATATTTATTTTCTTTTGCATATCTATAGAGTTTAGAAATATTCTCTTTTCATTGTGTTAAGGGACAAGAGTGATTTAAAAAAACTGATTAAGATCATCGTCTGTTCTCGAAATTAAGGCAGAGGATGTCTGCCTGACTCGTCATGAGCCTCTTTTTCAACCTGATAAAAATACGCCATTCCTCTTTTTAGCAATGCTCACTGCTGCTTTATATGGGCATCTGATCATAAGCGCTCTAATAAGTCCAAACAATTAGTAGAGAATAAATCAACAGATTTATGTTAAATATTAGAGTTCTTCTTCTTCGAACAACTCTCACTATTACTGATTAGGTTAACAAGGTAAGATATCTACAAGCTGCACGAGTGATGCCACCGTCGACAATAATTCCATGGTCTACGTTTATATATCGCTGGTCCACCTGTAGGTTCAAATTCTTTCCTGACCGTATCAGACCAGGTCTTGATTGGTCCATCCCGCTTTCAACGCCACTCGTCACCGGATTTAGCAAGAAATATGCGTCAACTCTTCTGGTGGACGTGCCCTGGTCAGCGAAGGCGACGCTCTGTGATAACATTATTAATGCATGTCGGAAACAACCGAAAATAAAAAAAATAATAGTGATACGGTAGGCATTCATTTAAAAAAAAAGAGAATTCAGAATAAAACATTTTAAAAATTCAACACTTTTCTTAACGTGAATATCTGGTGCAACTGCACCCTGGTCTGAATCCAACTTGATTAGGGCGTCCGTACTTGTAAAAGTCTGTTGAGTAAAAGAGAAGTAAAAATTTTCGCTGAGACATCTAGTAGGCTGATATCTCGATAATCCCAGTATGCCCTATCATTTTTCTTGAGAATTGCTTTGCTCCAATCATCTGGTAATATTTCCTTTTTCCATACCAGAAAGTACTTTTGTTGAAGGTGCGTTATGAAGGATGATGGACAATATTTGAAGAGTTCAGCTCGAAGACTATCTTCTCCTGGAGCCTTATTGGTCTTAAAGTTATGGATAACGAAGATTATTTCTTCTTCTGTTGGAGGTTCGCTATTGCAAGCATATGCTTCGACAAACGTATCAGCTATATCAGGGGCAACAGATGGCACTTCATGGTTAAGTTTGGCCTCAAAGAATTCTTTCCATCTTATGAGGCGATCCTTAATACTTTTGATTAGTACGCCATTGCTGTCCCTTACTATTTCACTAATCGTTCCTCAAGTCATAGTTGCTTTGTGAAACCGAGCCGCCACCTCCATTCTTAAGACCATGTCACTCCAATAGTGATTTCTGTCCCGCCTTACTGCTTTCGTTGCAAATCTTCGAAGCACCCGGTAGTTAGGACCACCTGACATTCGTGCTTTGGCAGCTTTTTCAGACAATGGACAGTTGTTTCCGATATCCAACTAGTGCATCTCCTACTTTCCTACTAGTATGCCCTAATGTGGAAGTGGCTGATTTTCGGAGACATTCCTTTAGTTTGGACCAGTATTCATTTGTCATTCTAGAAAAGTCATTGAATTTTAACCATTGAAATGCTTCAATAATTCAATAATTCGGAAATGCGCTCACTGTCTTCGAATTTTTTAGTTTGAGATAGTTGAAGGATCTTGCTGTTTTTTGCGAATATCAATTTTATGCCGATCTTAGCTTGAATCATAATTTAATCAGATCCATAAAGATTATCCGTTTCAGCGCCATGATCGGAACGACTATCTAGTATGGAACTCTTCCAATGGCGACTAAGATGTGATCAATCTGGTTGAAGAGTTGGTTATTAGAGGAATTCCACGTGATTAGATGTTTTCTACGATGCTGAAAGCATGTATTAGTAACAAAGAGTTCAGCAAAACGAAGAAGGCTTGGGGCGCATTCTCCGGTTGGCGCACGGGTCTCTGGGCCATATATGCCAATCGTCGAGGTCATCGGAGGCCAATGGAGCGGCATTATAATTTACGTGCATATTCCAGTCTCCACCGATTATGACTATGTCATGCTTCGCTAGAGACTTTGTTCGCAGTCGAAGTTCCGCATTTATCTTTATCATAATTCATCTGCCGACAGAGTTGGAGCATCGACACTGATGACCGAGATATTGCACAATCTGTAAAGCGAGTAAAGGCAAACGGGTATAGGCAATGCAGTCGCTTACCTGTTTCCACTCAGTCGAAACGGAATAGACCTTATTAGACATGACAATCGCTACGCCATTTCGTCCCGAGTTCGAAGCACCACAGTGATATAGCCAATATTTCTGCTTCCAGCCAGGATTAGTAGTTATTCGAGATCCAAAAACGGACCTCCGACAAGCATGCGATATCCACACGATATTTAGAAAGGAAAGTGATCGCTTGGTTCGCTTGGTTTCACGCTGATAGAGCTAATATCTCGCTGCGCATGCAGAGAACTGTTCCCCTTGATGGGTTTCGAATTACATCCTGGCTTGCGAGCAAATTTTATTTATCAGCCCTGGGATTGTTTCCCGCGCGGATTGTATACTTATCGCATGTATAACCGAGTTAGTAGTATCATGTGAGTCGGAAAACGCGGATGTCATAGCAAGAATATCTGACCCTTTCACCACAGAACCAATTGGGGATTAAATTACAGGTGAATCTCCAGCAACGCCGCGAACTTTTGACATGACAGGTTTACTCTTCTCACAGACATAATTATTTTATAATTTTATTTTTATGATATTATAAATTTTATGTATATATATATATATATATTTATTTATTTATTTATTTACTTATTTATTTTAATTGTTTGTTTTTAAATTTAGATAGAAGAAAAAAGAACAAAAAGTTAGCCCGTAGTTTTATAGAAATTCTAAAAAAATATTCCGAAAAAAAAATTACAGCGGACTAGCAATACAGCCGCTCAAGATCAAAATATTAATAAATATTTCATATTACAATTATTACACATTCCAGTTATTTGTGGGTTGTTTTTTATGTTCCGTTTTTATTTTTATACTGAAAAATTCTTTTTTTCAACATTTTTTTTCAACATTCTCTTCAACATTTTTGACTTTTATTGTTTATTGCGCTGAAACTTCTTAATAATTGTGCAGGCAGAACGGCAAAATTCTATTCTAAAACGCCGGTAGCTACTCACAAATGAGAAATTAGTTATCTATTAATGAAATGTGAAGCAAATGAATTTTTTCATTGCTACTTTATATAAAAATATTTCCTCGCACCTATTTTACGAAATTTTAATAATAAAATTTTCATTTCTATTCATTTTATTGTTTTTTAAAATTTTTTCAAATTTAAAAGTTTTATGAAATTCATGATTTTATGATAGAATTACGATTCCATGAAATTTCAATTTTGTTTTTTATTTTGTTTTCACTATAAATCGTTGAAAATAATGAATTGTCGTAAGAAATCTTTATTAACACCGTAAAATAACTCAAAAATCATGAATTTCGAACAAATATTTCCAAATTCAAAATAAAATTTACAACATTCCTTCAAACATATCGTGAATATTTATATTAAAAACGTCTTTAATTACATAAAATTATGAATGAAATAATGAAAAAAAGTTTTCGACAATTTTAATATACAAAATACTTTACTGTTATTTAAAAATTTGTCAATAAAAGCAACAAAGTTGCAATTTAATTAAAATCAATTTTTTGAAATTTTATCAATGAATAAAAGTTTATCATATTAAGTAAATATTTGCTCGGATCGAATTTATTCTTTCGCAAATTTCATATGTTGCAAATAGTTTTATTCATATTTTTTAAAAATGAACAAATATTTCAATTTGCCTTTAGTATTTTTGCGTATAATCGGCATAGATCCGTAATTATCGTAATATTTATTAAATTAAATTTATTCAAGTAAATGATAATTCATAAATTATACAGTTTTTACTGAATTATACAATTTTACTGAATTAAAATAAATGTATGGAAACTAAGAAAGTATTTAGTTAGTTAAAGAGATCTTCAGTCATCATCCAAGAATTCAGGATAATCATGTTTTTTAGGAGCATTTCGGCACAAGGGACAACCACCTGTAGTAAGACATGCCATTTCGAAATCATCTGCATGAAACATCTGGAAAACAATTTGAAATAGGGTTCATGAAAATTTCATAAAAATATACTCCAACAAATTACAAAATTGGCCAATAAATAAAATATGAAACTATAGGGCGACCAACTTTTTAAAGTCTTTTAAAGTCTTCTGTAATTAAATAACTTACATGGTGACAAAAATTACATTTCGATATAGATATTTCAGGTATAAAATTATAATAAAACTGTGCTTTTAATGGTTCATTCCACTCAGCAATAATTACTTGAAGTCGTTCTAAACCAATTAGCATTTCCCTATCCGCAACTAACGATCCTTTTCTCATTTGTAGCTAAAATTGGATAAAATATTATATTGACATAAAACTGGACTGGATTCTGGATTATTTATTTACTTATTTATTTTGTTTGTTTTTAAATTTAGATAGAAGAAAAAAGAACAAAAAGTTAGCCCGTAGAACTGGAAACTGGATTCGTTGGCAAGATGAGTGATATTTTGCAAGTTTTTTTTTTTTCAAGGGCCCTTACCATTATTGATTAGACTCGCTCTGCTGCGTTTTCGCACTGGAAAGGTATCCCAGGCAATCCCTTGGCGATAAAAGTTTAGATGAATTATCAGCATCATCCAGATTTTTGGACAGATCCTCAGCATCTCAGCATCGGCGCTCCAAATTGAGTAACAAATTGAGTAACAAAACTCGTCATCAAAAGAAAAATACTGGTGGTGCTAGGAGCTCTCACTTTATTTATTTCTAGGAGCCATTCTATTCTCCATTTTGCATCATGCAGTCGATTCATTCATTTTTATGGAAACTAATTGATGCTATAGATCGAAACAATGACATTCCATAATACTGCATTACATTCCCTGCTGTACATGCGAAAAAGCTGCGAATCAAAATTTGTTCATCAAAAGTGAAATCTAGGTAGTTTTAACTCCAAATGATTCTCTGGCGAAAACGTTGCATCTTACTGGTTAGCCAGCCAAACTAAACAGCGATGTCCCAAGAACAAGAAGAGAAAAATAATAATAGAGATTTGCTTGGTAACATCTTCCATCCTTTCGTTAATTAAATATGATAATTCGTTAATATGCAATTAAAATATTAGTAGATTATATGCATTCAACAAACAACGATTATAGGATGAACTTATAATAATTCTATATTAACTTCTAAAAAATATCGACCAGAAAAGCTGAGAAATGACTGAGAAGTCTTGGCTTTCCAATTAATATCCCCTCAAATCTCTTCCAAAACCATTTATTTACGCTTTATCCTTTTATATACTTTTTTTTTCTTCGTTGCTGTTAAATCGCCGTCAAGAACAATTTACTATTTTAAAAACAAAATGTAGTATTAAATAAACCTGTTTTTTAAATGGTTCTTCGCTTCGATTAAGTGGTGGTTCAGAATTTATAAGTCTTTTAGCTTCTTCTATGTCGATGTCTTCAGAAATCTTGAATTCCATTACTGGTAATACTTCTGGAGAATTAAATTAAATGAAATGAAACTAAACGAGTCGCATCGTAATTAAATAATTAATAATTAATATAAATAATTAATAATTAGTATAAATAATTAATATATTATTGTTAAAATAACAAGCTGAATCAGATTTTCTTTTTCCACCAGCACTTCCCATTTCTTCTTAAGATGAATTCAGAAACCTTTTAATTAGAAATTTGTCACATTACAATTTGGCCACCCGGAATTTATTTTTAATTTCATTGTTGCCCAACAGCAAGAATTGAGTCCTTTTGATCTTAAAGCCAATACGAATAAATCGAACGACTCATATTTTCCATATGATATATGGTATTTCAATAATGGAAGGTAATAAATATTGAATAAACATATGAAATCCAGTCTTTTATTTATATTTATTTTTGCATATATCGAAAATTAAATCCTCCTCTCATTTCATTTGTGGGTCTATCAATCGCAGAATCATGGTAAAGAGTAAATAAAGAGTAAATATTAAAATAATAATAAAATATAGTACAAATCGAAATAACTATAATCGGATGGTAAAAATCGCGATTTCATACTTCCTGCATGATGTGAATTTTTTAAATAATATAAATGATATTATCTATTTTTTTTTTAAAGATAGCTAGGGATGGTGCACAAGCTATGTCGTTCTGTAATTCACTCCAGAAATTAATATTACAAAGAAATCATGAGTCCTTAGTTTGTTTTTACACATAGATTTTAGTAAATATTAATAGAAAATGGGAAACTTGCCGAAGGAAAGAAATGAAAATATGAATGGTGTTTTACAGTGCACACAGCTGTTGCCACCTGTCGATGGATTTGAAGTACCACATCTGAAATTCAAATCTTCGTAACAAGCGAAATGGAAAATAATAATATGATTGTCAGTGAAAGAAAATTTTCTGGTAAATTTCACCTGTAGCACATTGGTAAGAATTCTTCAGTATCTATAAATGGTTTGCTTCGTATTAACAGTGTTGCTATTGCGATATCGTTTTCCAAATGTGTAGGAACCTTAAGATAACTAAGTTCCTCTAATGCATATCTAGCCAATTTGTATGCACCTAATGATTTTCCTTCCTTCATAAGGGTATACATTATGGACCTGAAAATTATTATTTATTTATTTATTGAAAACCAGCCAAGCAGGGCGCAAACGCCATGTGCTTGTATTAATAACATCAGTTCAAATAACAAATAATAAGAATTAATGACAAATAACAAAAAATAATTATAAAATAAACAATTAAAAGATTGAAATTATATAATTAAAATAAAATAAACAATTTAAAGATGAAATAAAGAGGATATTGCAAAATAATAAAATATAGTACAAATCGAAATAACTATAATCGGATGGTAAAAATCGCGATTTTATACTTCCTGCATGATGTGAATTTTTTAAATAATATCATAAATGATATTATCTATTTTTTTTTAAAAGATAGCTAGGGATGGTGCACAAGCTATGTCGTTCTGTAATTCACTCCAGAAATTAATATTACAAAGAAATCATGAGTCCTTAGTTTGTTTTTACACATAGATTTTAGTAATTTTAGCCCACTAGTTCTTATTGGATTTAAATTTAACCTAAAATTATAATATTTTAAACAATCTAATTTAGCATAACCATACAATGTCTTATAAGTATTAATTAAATCTGTTAATATTAAATCTTGTTTAATACAACGAACTAACAGAGAATTATTATTAGTACTATTATTATCATTATTTATATTGTTATTAACCATATTACTCGGAAAGCTGAGGGCTTTAACATATTTTATTTTTTGCAAATATTATATTAGCTGACCAATATTTATCGTATAAAGATTTATTATTGATAAGAATTTCTATCAAAGAAAAACCTGAAAAATCTAGAAATCTAGAAAAATCGAAAGGAAAACTTATATTTTTGAAATCTTATAGAGTGGTTCTTGAAAGGCCAGAAAGCGAGCAATATTCACAAGTGTCTCAGGAGTGTGGCTCATAAATGGTTCTACCTAAAATTAACCAATATACGGCAAAAAATCTCTTTACTATAGCTCTATTAGAAATAAAACTTATCAACACTCACAAGATACTTGAATATAGCATCATAAGCGTAATAGCAATCAGCTTTCAGTTTATATTCGTAAAACTTTTGCAGTAGATTTACGTCGGTTGTGCTTCTATCCAAGCATTGTTTACTAAGCATCCAGTAATAATAACCAACGTCAAGAAAACGATTTTCTTTAATAGCATTCTGCGTCAGTTGTTCTAAAACCCGCAAAGCTTCCACTTCTTCACCAGCCATATGATATGCTATAAATTTTAAGCATTAAATTAAATATTAAATTAATTTAAATTAATTAAATTCACAATTAAATTTACAATAATTTAATTAATTCTTTTCCTTTATTATATATAAAACATTTAATGAGACGAATCATCAATGTGCTATTGCATATGATGATGGATGCGTAGAATGGTGAAATCTGGCAAGACTGACTACCTAAGATATTCTCTATAAGCAACCTTTCTGCGCCTCCTCAAAGCGATCATTTTCAGCCAACCATTGTGCATAAGGCAAATATACATCTTTATGATAATTTGGGTATCGTGTTACGATAGCGAATGCCTATGGAAAGTTTTCATAAATTTTTCTATATATGCATTCTTTTTTCTTAATAAATTTTTTAATAAACTATTAATAATTTTTCGCGTTCTAATTCGAATTAAAGTATAATATAAAAATGTCAGTTACATCATCCCACTGTCCAACGTTAACGTGCATTTTCAATAGAGATCGTATGTCATTTATAGAACGGAAAACTTGTGTCGCTACGGTATATTCCTTTTTTTCAGCCATATAAAATCCAATTTCACGCAATATGTCCACATCACTCCGATTTATTCGATGCATTAAATTCATTAACCTTGAAATTATTATGAATGAAAAACAATTTTCAACAAGCACCATATATTAATTAAATATTTTAATTTAAGTATTTAAAATTTTAAAACTTACATATCTGTCCATTGATTTTCAATCATTAGTTTGACTGCTTTAACATAATCTCCTGAGGCTACATACATTTCAACTGCGAGTCGAGGGTCATTTGAAACTTGCGCCCAGTCAGCACGTCTTCTTATTAATGCCTTTCGCATTTCGTCAGAGGCAGATGATAGCAATTCCTGAGTGGAATGAAGTCAAGAAAGAAGGATCATTAGCTAGTAAAAATGAAAAATTTCCTCCCATCTCACCAATAATTTCAATTTTCAAACCTGTGCTTGATCAAACATTTTTAATTCTGTGAATATCTCTAATGTTTTTTGCTCTAAGCCAATTTTTTGAAATAGAATAGCTGCTTCCTTGAATCTTCCTTGATAGGCATATATTGAAGCCAATATTATTTCTTCACTTTCTCCATTTTGTTGCATTTCCTTGACAGAACAAACATAAAACAATTTCAAATATTTCGAATTTAGAAAGAAAAAATTCTTTTTCGAGCCATCCATCTATTGATTTAAAAATACTTTCATTTTCATGAAAGTATTATATATTTTAATAGCATTTTAATAGTATTTTATTGTTAATATTTTGTAATAAAATGCAAAAGCAAATTCTAATATATATCTCACTTCAATCGCTGATATTAATTGAAGCGTTTTATGGTCCTTGATTCGATGAAAAACCATTTTAGCGAGATCAATTTGGAAATTTTCAAGAGTATTATTACCTAATATTATCCAATCGCCCTCAGTGACTCCTAATGTCGCCAAATTATAAGCATCGCTGAAATGAAATATTGAAAATTCGAGAAAATTCATCGTAAAATAAAATTAAAAAAATAAAAAACAAGAAATTGTAAAAAATTTTGCTTAAAAATTGCTTTTTTTAGGAATTCTTTTTAGGAATTTAAGAAGGAGTTCTTTCTTATTTTTCTGACAACTCTTACCTTATTAATTTAGGGACCTCTGTTAATTACAAGGCTCATATATATTGGACAAGGACAACTGAGATAGATTTAATATGTGCGTTTGAAGTTGTATAGGTTGATCTTTTCTCTATCGAATCATTTCTAGATAAAGGTAGAATCAACCAGATTTTTAGTTCTCTGGCGTTTTTTAATAAATTCAAAAAAAATAGAATGATGAAGTAACACGTAATACTTCTATTTATTTTATATATATATATATATATATATATTATATTATATTAATATAGAAATACGAAAAAATATTCAAAATAAATGAAACCATCGAAAAAATTGAAAATGAGAAAGGAGAAACAATTTCTTTTTGTAAATCAGCTTTCATTCAGAGACTATTAATGAAAAAGGCATAATTCATCCACATGTTAAAAATTTTTACTACTGACTTTAAGAGTTAAAAGTTAACATAATTTGACTTTCTTTCTTCTTTTAACAGCTCGCACCATTAGTGGTTAATCTCATTCCGCTAGCTACAAGAACAAAACTTCAAGTTGTTCGATCCAATAGCACGATCGGTGATTGTAATAAAAACCAATCCTTTTTCCATCGTCTAATTTTACATATCACTGATTCACCTATGCGTTCAAAATCTTTCCTGATAGTATCCATTCAGATCTTGACGCCATGATATGGTTTTACAGGTAACGAAATAGCTCCTACGGTAAGCACCGAAGAATATCCTATCAACGAAAGTAGTAATGTGATTGTAATGTTAATGCAAGTGGTGAAAGCCATATCCTTGTCTTCTCCACTCGCGGAGCCCATAAAATATATTTTAGACATGGATGGTCAAAAGTAGATGACTTCTTAACATCTTTCACTTTTATCATGTTTCACGGCTATATAGTAGCTATATAGACTCGATCTTTCGCTTTTATGGTGATTTCGTTATGATATCATATTTTTATACGGGTTTCGCCAATTGAAAGAATACATTTTTGGCTTGCTCTCCGGGTTGTAATTTCATCTTTCGTTTGAGATTAGAGAGAATTCGAGATATTTAAAGTATAGTATATCCGCAACCAGATGAATTAATAAAAAAAAGGAATTTTATTATCTCCCGGTACATAAAATGAAAAAACTTTATTTGCAGTGATCATGAGACTGGTTTTCGTTATTGGCGACGCATTATTTAGCATTATTTGCATTTCGTCACAACCGCCAACAAAAAAAGACTATATCATCAGATTATTTAATGGTCGTGATATATTCTGGATTGATTTGCACACCTCTTGAGTGCCGACAAGCGATTATCTTATAGCTGAATATTATCGAGGAAAGGACCTTGACTGGCGCCATTTTTTATATTGAAAGAGTATCACTTTTCCATATGCACAGATCTGCCGATACGCCGATAAAATGCCTTCATGAGTCGATGGGACATCGCCACATTCCATCATTGTCCACAGCAAGTGAGGATGTTGTCATATCATATAACTTCTTTCTTGGAAATTTGGAACAGAATTGTTTTGCTCCAGCCCTGTGGCAAACGTATGGCCCGATGAGCGATTCATGTGCGGGACGCATCATGGTTATATTTGGCCAAAGAATTCCTTCCACCTCATGTAGCGATCTTTAATAGCCTCATTAACCACCATTAGCCATACCATTATCCACACCATTATCTGTACAATTTCACCAATCGTTCCTTGATTTATATATAGTTACTTTGCAGAACAGAAGTTATCTAGTCGCCTAATCGAACCACAGTTCAAAGCCATATCGATTCAATAACGATTTCTATTTTGCCATGCTACTGTCGTTGCAAATCTTTGAAGCATCGGACAATCAGGATCTCCCGACATTCATGCTTTAGGAACCTTGTCAATTGGATGTTTGCTTCCGATAGCCAACTATTAATATATCTTACAGTGGTTGACTTTCACTTTTATGCATTTAGTTGGGACCACTATTCAATCGCAAGATGTCATTGATATTCCTCTTACTGAGATGCTGCAATAACTCGGATTATTTCTCATTGTATCCGAATCTTTTCAGAGATAGTCCAAGATAGTCGAGAAACACTTTTCCTTGCGTGTTGTCAATTTTATACGAATCTTGGCTTAAACCTTAATATAGTCTGATCCATAAAGGTTGCCAGTTTCAGCGATCTAATGAGATTATCTGGTATAAAACTTTTCCGATGACGAATGATTAAGATATAATCAATCGTTGCAGTGTTGTTTATCTGGAGAACTTCCGTAGCTAGATGCTTCTTCGATGCCGGAAGCATTATGAATCGTGTATTGGTAGCAATAGTTTATGCTCTTTGGCAAAGCGAAGAAGACGCATTGATGCATTGAATGCCGATGCCATATTTGCTGAACTCTAAGTTTATCGTGGCAGCATCGTGACCTACGCACGCATCCTATTTCCTTGGGTTATGACCATTTTACTTTTCGGCTGATTTGTTATGTTTGGGATTGGAATTTCGCATAGACCCTGTCTCTGTGGGGGTAATGCTTATATACTGATCACCGAAATATTGCGGAACTTTTCTTTGAAACGGACGTAGGCTGTAAGATCGTTTATCGGTTTCCAATCTATCGGATCAGGCCGAGCTTTTTCAGATATGGCAGTCACTATTACGCCATTTCATCCAGGACATATGAAACACCACAATGATAAATCCATTTCCTCTGAAACCACGTTTAGTAATTGCTCGATACCCAAAATAAGAAAGATGGAATGGATTTCCATAAGCAGGCTATCCACACGATATTTGGATCGTTTAGCTTACAATATCCATAAGCATTCTGACGTTCCATGCTACTAACAATTGACCTGGAACTTATTTGAATTTCAAGCCTTGATGTTTTATTATGCCTGGATTGCATATTCATAACCAGGCTGGAGGTGCCTAATTCTCGATCATAGTTTACATCCAATGAATGGCCAATGATGTCAAGCTAAATTCCAATTACGAATTTTTAAACGGGGCATTAAGATTCACTTTAAGAGCTGGAGTTACCGCGACCAGGTTTACCCTCTCATACATTATAACAGGCTTAGTAAATAAGATTGAAAAAAAATATACTTACATATACATTTTCTGCTCCAGATATTGGTAGAGTTGGTTAGATAATGGTACTTCCATGGAGGTCATAACAAACAGATGTAGGCAGTAAACTCGTTTTCCCGAAAACCCAACAACAAATCCCTTAAAAGTCCATTATACTAATGCTTCTATTGCATTATTCCATATTGCTTAAAAAATAATTTTTAAAAAATGGTTCAAAAAATTGCTTAAAAATTAAAATGGTAAGTGCTTGCAACATTCGCTAACCTCCATTCGTTGTTGGTATGGAAGGAAGTTGTTGACTTTTATACTGAGAAAGCCTCCACCTGAGTAGCATAAGAGATTTTCATAATCTGTATTCCACGCTACACTACTACATGATGGCTCCTAGAAAAGAACGGACTCTCATTATAATCTTTTCAGAAAAGAACGGGATCTTACTATAATGTTCTTTTTCTCGAGTACTCACGGTTATTGGTTACTCCGGTTACTGGTTGCTCCACTGACTATTTGGAGTAGGTAAATATGCCAAGGCAAGGGATTCCTCGTACAGCATTGTCAGCACCACCCGGACTTTTAGACAGGCTTACTTCTGCCAATTATAATTTCAGTATCGGCACGCCAAACTGAACAACAATTCATAAACGTTATATTAATCTCTTTTGCTTTTCTCCGTGATGCCCTTTTTCATCGCCCTCATTTTTAGAATATTATTGTTGATATTAAAACTACACTTGGCTTTATAGCGTCTAGCGACGTTTCTATGTCTCTTCAATGTTTCTGTTTTATTTGTTCTTATTGCTTTTACCTGAAACAGAAGTTCTTTCGTGGTTATATCGAATACCATGCAAATACCTGCTTCATCAACAACAGCCAGTTTACGCCTGGAAGCCGAAAATGTTTCTAGCTTAAATAAAATAATTTCGTAATAAATAATAACAGAAACATGAATATGACAATTTGACAATGCGTAACATAATGATTCATCAAAATACTGCCATAGGCATTCATTTGCAAATCAGCCAGCAAAGCCAATTAATAAATTTTTGTTCACATGTGAAAAAAGTCAACAGGTATACGAATCAACAGGTTAACCAATCAAATCTTGATTTAAACGTAAAAGCTGTTGCTTATAGATATTAATGTTTGTTAGGAATGACCCGAAATTATATCATATGACAAACATGTGATAAACACTAACACTATCATTTATCTTATCCAAGTTTATTGATATATATTGTAAAATATGACCGAAATCGATCGATACAATCATTTTAAACACCCTTCTAAATAACTTTTTAAATATCCTTATTTGGTAACATGGCGTTGAGAATTTTAACTATCTTCTTTCTATTTGTCCTATTTTAAGTTCACTCTCTTCTCACTACTGTTAATTAGCATTCTGTACCTCGATTTTCTTATTGTTGGCTATATTTAGTAATGCAGTTAATACGTAATTTATCCTAATTTTTTCTCCACAGAATTAAGCGAACACGTAATTTTAAATATTGCCTGAGATGGCTTATATCCAAGCAGCGTATTGCGCTTTTTAGTTGCAAAATTTTAATCGGGAACGGATTATCCACGAATATTTTGAAAACCTTAATGATAAGAAATTATAGATTTTTAATTGTAGATTCTAAAAAGATATTTAAAAAGTGTGAAAAAAATATTTTTTTTTAAAAAATTACCGTGAATTAATCTGAATATTTAGAATATTTGATTAAAATAGGGATTTTTATTATATGTGGGGCTTTAAAAAGAGAAATTCGAGCGTAAGAATTCCGGATTTAAGAACAACAGAATTAAGAATTAAGAATTACAGCTCCATTTCGAAGGCCAATAAAAATTGTTTCACGCCCTGGTGGACCACCAATAACTTTTATATATCTGATCATTGAATCCAGTAGCCATTCTCGTTGTTTCAAACCTTTATGATCATAGCATTGAAGTCTACTTTCTTGACATAGTATGAAATGTTTGATACAGATTACCTAGAATGAATTCGCTACTAATAAAAATATTTTCTTTGCTAGGATCAAAGGATCTCATATCTCATCTATCTCACCTATTTCTAATCCATTGAGAATGGGTTTTACTGGATAATTGGTACTTGTCTTAAATTTATCCTGAAATCACTGAACAAATTATAGAAATGAGAGGTCTTGAAAAGGACAAGAAACCTACGCGATCTGCTATGTATATATATATATATATATATATATGTATATATATACATATATATATGTATAAGCATGTATTTAAGAAGCGAGTTTTATCATACACTTGCAATTATATCAGTGAATAGGCTAGACTTGGACGACTTACAAGTAGTGAACAGTCGAAAGCATGATTGACTCGATCCGTCAGTTTATATTCCAGCTGGCCATCATCACGATCTGCATATTCGCGATAGATATCAACTCGATCATTTAACTGGATCTTGAAAATTTTTACTATGAAATTTTGATTAACTTTCCCTAAGTAACGAATCATATCTTTCAAGCATATTTAGGCTTGATTTTTTGCTCCCAAATTTCCAATGTAAAAAGTCTCGCTTGTAAAAGACAAAGGTTAAAGCAGTGATTAAATTGGATGAGAATATTTTTGAATTTACTGCTAATCTATCCTTATATACAGCGACCTTTCGAACAAGGTCATTACACTTTAACCGAACTGATGTTTGTCTTCCAAGATGTTGCACAATCACTTCAGTCATATTTTCACGATAAGCATATCGCTCCTGTAAAACGCTTCAATAGTACGGGAAATTTTCCCTAAATTTGTAGACAATTAAATTTATGCTCCAAGAGTTTTTTCGAACAAGTATTTCTTTAATAAATTTGCAGTCGTAATAGTTTCCTAATAATTTACCTTATGCAATCCATGAACTGTGCTAAACATCAAATGATAGCATGCCAGTGTTCCGTCAATACATCCAGCTGAAATAAACTTAACTGAACTTTTAAGTTATTTGAGAATATGATAAAGACAAAGACATTTGATATTGTGATTGCAATATTTCAATATTTTTCAGCTCTAAACTTTAAATTTTGCTTAAGGATTCGATCTCTGTTTCTTGATAAGAGTAAAAAACTTTTATTAAAAATGAAAGACTGGCGAGCGTTGAGAAATCATTTGTACCCTTGAGAAGATATTTTCTGGCTAAAAAAAACCTGATAACATCGGTGAAGAGAGCAGTTCAAACTTTAAATGATATGCTAAATAGGCAAAATTTTATCCATTGCAATCATCCAATGAACCAAATAACTGAGACAGTTATTTTTAGTGGAAAAAGCAAGTACTTACCGACAATTGCATTGGTGAATGGTCTTGATTTTGCCGTCCATACCCATGCATCCATTTGTGCAATAACTCCCAAAGTGATTCCTGGGCTTTTTATATTACTTTTTTGTTTTTCATACAAAAAACTTAGATTTTATATATTTTAAATTGGTGATATGAATATGATGTTTAATCATTGAAAATAAGAACTGATATCCGTCAAGGTTCCATCATTTCCTCTAAACTATTCAACTATGCGATAAACTGGATAATAAACAACACTTTTCGGCAATCAAGAGGTGGAAAAATCAGTCCAGAACATCACAGATTTTGAATACGCTGATAATCTAGTTGCTGATAATTATGAAAGTTATAAATACAAATAATGCTAAACAATATGGAATTGGACAATTGCAGCGAGAACTGGATTCAGGGTGAATGTAAAAAAAATGAAAATCTTTTCGCCTATAAAGTTAATAAAATGCCTCTTTTTATAAATTCATTGCTAGTTGAGGAAACGCTCGATTTTTAAATACATGGATCCACTCTAATACCAAAATGGCCAGGCAAAAGACGTAATTACGGTCCGGATAATAGCAGCTAGAAATGTGTTCGTTTCATCCTATTATTGACGAAATCTTTATGGAGCTGTCGTGAGATCACCACTGAAACGAAAGTCCGCTGTATGGCCTATATATCTATATAGCCGTGATTCGTTCGATCTCGCCATATGGTTCTAAGACATGGCCAATGATAGTGGAAGATATTAAGTTATCTACTTTTGCCTAAGGTAATTTTACGGGTCCGTCGAGCGGATAAAATATCACATGATCGCATCCACTTTCGTTCATATACCACTTGCATTAATATTATCACAGAGCGTCGTCTTCGCTCGTTAGTTCTCCGTCGTCCACCACAGAAGTTGACGCATATTTCATTACTTGCTAAACCCGATGATCAGTGGCGTCGAAAGCGAAGTGGGCCAATCAAGAACATGATTGATATAGTGAGGAAAGATTTCGAAGATATAGGTGTATCAGCACTATATGCACTTAGACGATGGAAAAAGGAATAGCTCCTTTCGACGGTGGCATCAGCTCGCGCAGGTTGGAGGCATTTTATTCTTGCAACTAGTGGAGCATAGCCTAACCAGTGAGAACTGTTGGACGAAGAAAGAATCATTGAAAATATTTTATTTAGCTTAGTTCATATAGGTTTCCGAGAAAATTAAGGTGACCTTCGCGGCTGTATAGTGTAACTTGTCGATTGGATCCACTAATAATAAAGAACTGATCATAATTAAAGCAATCGATAGCAGTCGGATCATAACCGAGCTTTTTATCATCACGACCTACCTGCAATTAATTTTTTCCTCTATTGCCTTTAAGAAATAAACGACAAAAAAAAACCATTTAAAATCCAACTTGGTTGCCTTCGAGATCATAGAATGCAACAGTTTGTCCCCAATCTCCAACTGCTAAAATTTCGCTCGAATATAGTCTGAAAATAAGAATCTCCTAAATGTTTAGAAATAAAAAATTCATAAAATTATGCAATATCGTATAAAAATAAGCAAAAATAAGCAAAGTTACAAAGCAAACCAGAGATTAGAACTTCAATACAAAATGAATGAAATAGGGAATTTAACGAACCGATCTTCCGGCGTATTGCGACGCTGATTCTGATAACTGCAATGAATTTCATTGTTAATGATTCTTGTGCCATATTTTTTAATGAGCTTTTTTATTACATTTTAATTACAAATTAAAAACTGTCTAGAGAATAGATGAAAAAAATCGCGAAAACCTAGCACATATTGCTAGTGTGCCAGTGTTGGAACCTATGGCTTGAAGATCAGTGCTGTTATCATTGTTTATCCCAGTCGAAACAATGCAATCATCCAAGTTTTAAATAAAAAAACAAAACATTTCAAAATAAATAAATTTGGATGGAAAAACCAGTAACTTGTAACCTGTCAATTAATAAATCATTCCATTGCCATCTATTTAATTTCTCGTAAAGTCTCAAGAATATTTTATTGGGACCTCTCTAGTACTCTTTCAGATTTGCAATCCTATTTGTCATTCTAATTCTCCTTTGAAATATCAGCTGAACTATAAAATTTCCTCATAATCATGAGATTTGTGTGTTTCTTTCAATTCATTTCATAAAGTATGGAAATATTTTTTAAATTTATTAATATCAAAAAAGTATATAAAATCGGTTGCCTTAAATATTTATAAACAAGAAAAATCAAAAATTGACGATTTAAACTGATTTTGATCTTTCATTTAGAATCAAAGAATTATTATTCTTGCTATTTTTAAAATTTCTGAAAAGCGTTTTTGAAAAAAAATTGCAAAAAAATTTATAAAAATTTTATGAGCAGTTATTTTTTGCGAGCGTTTTGTACCATTTAATTCGGCGCATTCCACAGACCCATTTTTTCAAAGAACAATTCACCTCTGTCACACTTAATCTATTTAATTTATAACCGAGAAGCTTGAACTGGTTTGCTTGATAAATGCGATAAATTTGCTTTATTTAGCCCATATGAGCGATGTGATGCGAATCTAATCTGACTGCTCAATCCACTTTGAACGTCTTTTTGTTCTTTTGAACGAGGAAAGTTGGAAATTTTTTGAAAAAAGCAGCTAGCTTAATCGATAAGGATATAAGTTGTTTCAAGAAAACGGTTGTTTCAGAAAGTCAAATTAATAGATCTGAAAACATACCATCCTAAGAATTGAAATGATAATAAGAAGTGGAGTCAGCCAGTTTGTCGGGCAGGTGTGTGTTGTTAAAAGAACAAGAAGATAATATTTATAATTTAATTTTTTATTTACGTAATAACGAAGGATTATTTTATTGCTACCTTAACTAGCGTTATCTCTAATTTCAATATTCTTTTCAAGCTTTGATTCCATGTTATATAATTGTGAAATTAATTTGCAAAAATTATAAATTATTGCCTGATGGATCTCGCTCCTGCAAAGCTAATCGCCCAAACCGGTTCACCAGAGGGACGTTCGATCTTCTTAATCTCATTACCGTTCTAAAGAACCAATTTAAGAAAAAAAGTAGATTAAATGTTATATTTTTTAAAGTGATGAAAAGTATAACTATTTGAACAATAATAACTATTTGAAAACTTAACCAAATAACTATTTGATAACTTCCTCATTGCGTTTTTATTTTATTGGCTTCTACTAGTTTCTATTTCTATTTTATTGTTCCTATAACAAAATTTAAATAAAAAAAAATATACAAGTGCAGATCTTAATAAAATAGTGCCATCAAACATTCCAATCGCATATAATTGCCCATCATGACTCCAAGCACAACATGTGCATCTGCTTTGTGTCCTTTGCTTGCTAATATTTTTTTCAGCTTGTGTCCATAATCCTTTTTAAAAGAATATTTAATGGTTGATTCTATATTAAGAAATAAATATTGTCATTGTTTTTTTAAATATTTTGTAAAATGTTAATTAGTGAATTGTAAAATATTAATTAGTTAACTTTGTGAATTATTTTCGCAACTTTTGATAAGAATTTGGCAAAAATTAATGAATGATAATTTTTTAAAAAATTTACAGAAACATTAAGAAATTTCGAAATTTCAACCGAAATCGTTAATAGAGCAGCTAAGTAGTGTGCATGTGACTGGACTAAAAGCCAAGCACTGTATCGCTTCATTATGCCTGAAATTTGAGGCTTAAAATTCATTTTTCAATTTAATTTCAATTCAGTTTTGTTTTTCATTTTTTAAAATTTAAATTTAAAAATTTTTCAGAATTTTTTTAGACAAATTTAATTTGCAAATTACATTATATTTTAATTTTTAAAAAAAGGTTCAATTTCAAGAAATTGCTAATCAAATTTTATTAAAAATTCCAATTTTTCTTATTGGCAAAATTATAAAACAAAGAGATGAAATCAAATTATTCTATGAATTTACTCCAATATTTTCCTTGTTATCAATAGGAATTTAATAATTATTTGGACAAACATCACAGATTTTTTGGCATTAATTTTCTCGATTGATTTTTCAGGGAAATTGGAACAAGGAAAATTTTGATTGGCTTTTAAGAATTAGTTATAATTAGAAGATATAATTATAAAAAATTATATATTTTTACCTACTTTCCTTCCTATCAAAGTGAAAGAAGAATGGAATTGCAGGTTGCATACATTATTATAAATATAACACACGCTCAACCGCCACTCCTTAGCTTAATAAACTTACCATTGAAAACGAAACCAGGCTAGACATTGGGACCAATTTGTATTTTTAATCGTCACTATTCTTTGGTAAAGAGATTATTCGAATTTTCCTTTTATAAACAATGTCCAGCCTGGTTTAACCTGGTCTGATACTGTTAAGAAAGATTTTGGACGTATAGGTGGACAGCAGTGTATGGACTTAGATAATGCAAAAAGGAATGGCTTCTATTACTGTCGACGATAGCGTCAGACCGCGTCGCTTGGAAACGTCTCACACCTGTGGCCAGTGGAGCCAGCCTAATCAGTAATCTCTTAGAAGAAGTTCATAAACAAAAATGATGACCCAAGAAGAGAAACATAATATCAAGTAAAGTCAGGTTCAAAAAAGCCTAATTTCTATTTCTAATATACGTGTGGTTCCTTTCTTATTTGGCATTCCTAAAAACTAAAATTACTCTAAAAATGGCTAAGCTAATATTTGGCTAACTCAAAAAGTTTATTTATATTAAAACTAATTTTTTTTAAGTGTTGAAAAGATTTCGTGGAAAAAAGGACTGCCAATTATTTCAAGTTGTGGCAAGTATTGTTGTAAGGGAATTTGAAACCAACATATATTTGAGTGTCCCTTCATGCTGTTCTGTCCAAATTATCACTGTACAATCAGCAGAGCCGGATGCAAATCTCTCGCCACTGTGCGAGAATGTTACCGCATAAACGAGGTCCTTATGTCCTTTAAAAAATAAATTTACAAAAAGGAAAATATTTCTTATTGTTACAATTATTTTCGTCTTTTTTCACCTTTAAGGGACTGCAATAATGTTCCATCATTGCCATCGTAGATGAAAATTTTTGTATCAGCAGCTACAAGCAATTCAGATCCATCAGGCTTGAATGCCAAATCATATATGCAGCATCTGAAATAAATTATTTAATTCATTTTTTTAGCATGTTTGCTGTCATCAACAACTAGGATCGATAATAAATTTTAGTAGATAATAAATAATAGCAAGCAGCTTAAAAAACTTTCGATGTTTTGATCCTTTTTTTGAATTTAAATTTAAATTTCCTTGTTGTATGATAAATTTTGTGCGAAAATTAACAAGCCGTCTGAATATTGAATATTTATCGACTTGAGAAAAAATGGCTTAATATTAATAATAAATGCCTGAGGCAAACAAGAGCCTCAAACTTGTTTAAAAATCAGAGTTTCTCTAAGCTCGTCAATTAAAAAAATCATTTTTCATAGCGAAAACTCTTGATTATCTTGAAAAAATAATAGATTTTTTTGCATCAGTCAATTTTTCTGGGTTCTAATGAACAATTTTATCAAACAAATAGGTTTTAATAGGCGAAGAATTTCGGTTTATTTTTTACAAATTTTTCAAATTTCAATTTTCAATTTTCAATTTTTCAAAGTATTAATTAATAGAAGATTTATGGCTTTTTTTCATAAGTTGACAAGTAATTTTAATGATAAAAATTTTATTTAATACTTTTTTTATTGTACTGAATTTTTATTAGATCATTAACGCTATAAATGTCGAATAGAAATGCCATTCTATCGACAGCTTTATTTATCAAATCTCTTAGAAAAATTAAGAAATGCCATATTTCTCGAATCTTAGCAAAATTTCTTCAATTATTAAATGAATAAAATTTGAGAAAGGAAAGAAATGCGTTAATTAATTGATAATACTGTAGAATAGACACATATGGGCGATGGGGAAAGGCGAAATAATTCGATAATGTGATTCATAACACCAAGGAAATAAAAGGCAGCTTCTTGATATCCACGCTCATTTCGCCATGTCTCCCACTTATCTTTTCTTCATTCTTTTTATCGGAATATATAAGGTTCGTTTTTCGTTTTACGCTAAAAATTCGATTTATTCCTAGAATCGAACATTTATATCGACAATACTTAAATTTCTTTCTAATAAAATTCTAATAAAATAAAATAGATTTCCTGGATTTCATTAGTTAGTATGCGCATTTTTACTCACTGCATGCACTGCTCCGGTTTTGGTTAATTTTATTCGAGCAATACTTTCACCGGAGCAACATTTTTCTGGACAAATACGCCTATTAATAGCCAGCAAGCACTCCGATTTCGCTTTTGTTTAACATGCGATTTAGAGGAAGAGAAAACGAATTGATAGTTTTGGCTGAAGAAATTATATGAGAAGCAGCTTTCTAGAGAATATACATCAAAGCTTTACGAATTTTTGAGGCAGCGATAAATTTGTTAATAGCCTTCCAAAGAAAATTCATTCCAGATTGTGGGAAGTTACTGCGTTGAAGACAATTCGCCGGAATTTTGTACGATTCTTAATTTGTTGCCGATTAAAAAGCAAGAAGAAATTAATCGATTTATGGGAAATATTTGCGAGCAACATCCTTCAAATAAAATGCTCAAATTAATGGAAAATGGGGTTAAAATAAAGAGGAAACCAAATTTTATGCGTTTTGGAAGATCAGGTCGCCCAAATGTTTCCTTTTAAAAATATTCCTTAAAACAATGTATGTATTCATTAAGATAAAAGTCATTCTGGCAATTTTTTATGCTAAACAATTATTTATCCGATTTGCAATGAGAGGAAAGAATGGTTCTTCTTGATCAAATCTAAGTCACATAAGCACGAAGAACGATCGTTAGTGCTATCCTAGTTTTTAATTACTCCCTTCTGGCAATTTTTAAATTCTTTCTCTTCTATGTTCGGTCACATACATTTTTAGCCACACTTACATGAATCTAAATTAGTTATCGCTATGTCTCGGATATCGCTAATAGCTCATACAGAGATTCTCCTCGCACAGACTTTTTCGAATTGGAAAAATTAAATTTTTCTGCTTATAAAAAAACTGATATTGCGTGAATGGCAATATTTGAGAAAGCTTCAAATGGAAGCCAAAAGTTTCAGCTGATAATTTTTGATAATTTTTTCATAGTTGATAATTTTTCAGGAATTAGCTCTGATAATAAAAGACAAGACCCGAATTTCTTGAGATTTGGAAGGAATGAGCCGGTCAATGCGAATTTCTTACGATTTGGTTTTTTTTTTTTTTTAAAAAAAGTAAACGATGCAAATGGCTTGAATCACCTACCCATCGGATGACATATGAAAGACAAATTTTAGATTTTCCTTAAAATATCATAAATTGTAATACGTTAAGCCATTTGTGATAATTGATTGATAATAGGTAATACCGTGGTACCATAGTTTTTCTTTCTTAATTACTTAATTTTAACAAAATTGTGGTGTATTAACCTAAAACAGTCGAGAAATTTCAGTGTTCTGTTTTAATGTACCATAGCGCATTACATCATATTTCTTTGGACCAATGAATCTAATTAAAGGTCGCCAAATAGATCCGATTTTCTTGCGGTTTGGCAAATCAGCAGAACCAAATTTTTTACGATTTGGTAAGCGATCACAGGAACGAAATTTTTTTGTTCGATATGGTGATGAACTCGATCGAGAATCCCGTAGACCGAATTTCTTAAGATTCGGAAAATGAAATGAAAACTATATGTGGAGACGATTCTCGTTACCATTGCCAATAATTCTTTACTGGCTATTTTTCTTTTCTCCTTAAATTTTCCTTAAAGTATGCGAGAATAAATGTTGTCATCAAGAAATATATGGTAGAACCACGATATTTTAATAAGCGAAAGAGCAATTCCAATCCATTCTAATTTTTGGCTTATTGGATAATTGTCATTCATAATTTATCGGCCATAAATCTCTGATTTGGATCCATCGTGATTCGCATTTAATCATAAAAAAACTGTAAAAAAAAAGAGTGCTTCATGAAATCTTTCCATATATCTAATCAAAAATATTGCTTTTCGACTTCAATTACTATAGACATTGACAAATTGGCCGGATTTGCAGTGTTTTAACTAAGGTGACGAGGTCGAATCCTGTCATTTAGCAGGAATAAAGTTGCCACCTAACCGAAATCCAGGCGCTATTGAGGACGCAGAAATCTATCCTTTTCTCTAAACAACAAATCAGAAATAATGAGGATGCTGATGAAGAAATTTTTAATAAGCTATATTGCCATTTTAAGCAACTATTTTTTTTTAGTCTTACGAAAATTTTTAGCAAAAAAATCGACATTTCCAAAAGAATTTTTTGAAAATAGGAAAATTTTTATGGAGAATTTTTAAAAATTTTCTTCATTCATTCAGTAATTTAACTATTGAAAAAACTAGCCAATGGGATCCTGTGGATCCCATTTTTTTATCGAGGCGCCTAATTTAAATAATACAATAGTTTTCTATGGTATCTGCAAAAAAATCAATTCTGCCTCAGGGCTAAAATCTACCATTGAAAACAAATTATTCTTAATTACCCTTAAATAAATCATTGCTGCTGAAAGAATCGCCCATATCAGTAAAGCCAGCGTTAAACTAGAAATAAGGCGCATTAATGCGAAGAAAAAGGATTGAAGAAAAAAGTAAATCTAAGAAAAAAAAGCGATTTACTTATAATAAATCGAAAACAATGAAATGGTTACCCGGCTTCGGACTCATTATTATCACTTGATATCTTATCAATCCAATGCAAAATCGGTCGCATAGAATCAAATATTTGTTTGCAAGCGATAAGAACGAATTTCTTTAAATTATTTTTAGGTTGCTATAGAAACATTTATTCACTTAGTTATTCATGCAAGTAAATGTGATTTTGAGGAAAATTACGATTCAGCGATTTTTTTGGCTCATTTTCCAATATTTAGTATTTTTCAGCATTTCAATATTCAATATGTTTTTAAATATTTTGAAATTCGATCATCTTTGGAAATTTTTCATTCTGAAAATTTTTCATTCGGAAAAAAAAGGAATTTTTCAAAAGATTATTTTTATACAATAAAGCACTCAAATTTTAGAAACAAATTTAGGCGCTGATTATAAGAAAATGCGCACTTTTCTAAATTGTCTCACTGGCACAATGAACCCCACAATAAATATCGGGGGGCTTCCTTTCGCTTGGCCGCGGGCCGTCACCGCTTTTTTCCTGCGATCTTCGAAAGATGGTCGAATTTGAGTCCACTTTTTTTGACCTTTTTGGGATGAGTCTGCTGGTTTGTTTTGCTTGGGTGGGCTGCTTATTCGTTTTATTATCCCATTTTATCAGTTTGTCTGTTTTCTGTTTCTCTCTTTTTTTGTTTCTTTTGAATTCGTTCATTAAGATTTGATTTTTACTTAAATAAAACAACATGAAAATAAAATAAATTTTTACTACTATACATTTGAAGTATTATTTAAGACTGCTTGAATATCGTATGAACCATCGTTGAATCGTTGAACTGAGAGAGAGCGTCAGAATACTTCATCGTGTCACCGCCGCCGCCGCCGCCGCCGCCACCGCCATGTCGTTGTACGATATATTCGGTGAGGACCCAGTTGAAGAAAATTCGAGCAAGGCAAGCGATGTGAAGTCAGCGAAGGGTTTGTCTGTATTAATCGAATTTTAGTAGCACCGAGCAGCTCATCTTAATCGAAAAATTAGTGTGCCAAACATGAAATTCGATTTGACTTTAAGCATTCCTCGTTAGACTTGATCCGCTAACTTGTCGGGTCGGGTGAATTTTGCCAGGGAGTTATTCTGGTGGCAGATAGATGGTAGGTGAGTCGCCAGCATTTTTTAAATCTTCGGAGGTCCCTCCGAGATCCCATCTCTAGTGAAAAACCCTAATAATCGGTGGATGCAACCAAAAACGAAATTGTGTACGTGTTTAGATAAGAAGAAAAATTTTTGAGCTACGATTTTTTAATTTCATAATTTCTGATGAGATTAAATGATGCCAGCTATTTTTATTTTTAGGAGTATCAACTGGATTACGAATGTTACAATCACAAATACAAGCAAAAAAATCGCAGTTAGCGCAGTCTCAGGTTTCTTGCATCTTTTAATTTTGTATTTTATATATAATTTTTGAATTTTATATTGAAACTATAAATTAGTTCAAAATTAATTTTTTTAAGTGAAAAATTTGAAATATTGATTTAAGATTGTTCTAAGTATGGCGATAAAAATGAATTATCGTTAATTAATTTTTTCAAGCGTAACGTGGTTACTCCAGTAATTGATTTATCAGCGCGAAACCGTTCTTCAACAACCAGTACAATTCTTAAGCCACATAAGGCTATTCCTATCGGTGATGGATTTCCATTATCTTTCATTCCAAAGTCGTTAAAGGAGGATAAGGTATAAATTTTATCATTTTTTGTAGCTTCTCACTTATTTGAAAATTATTTCATTCTGAAATCCTTTCTATCTTTATTCATTTTCACATTTATTCAGGTTTTCCTTTTTGGTGAAATACTTGTGGAAGACGAGTATAATCCAACAGCGCCAACTGATTATGCTGTTCATAAGCAAAAAGCAGATGAAAGGAAAGCTAAAGAGAAGCTGGCAAAAGAAATAGCTGAACGTTTGAGCAGGTATATAAAATTTAAATGGATACAATTGATGAAAAGCAGAATTCTATAAAAATGATTTTAAGGGAACATCAAGAGGAAGTCGCAAAGCGCAGCGCTGGTGCAGCTATAGCACCACCGCAAATTCTGATGGAAGAAGATAGTAAAATCAAACCTTTATCGCCTCCAAATGTTGTGAACGAGATGCCTCCCCCTTCATTTATTCCTTCATTTGGTGGTGCTGGGAAAGGTCTTGGAGTCGCAGCTAATATAATGACCAAATTCGGTTATAAGGTTTTATTTTCTTTAGCTTTTTTATTGCAGTTCAAAAGTGCCGTGGTAAAATTGAAGTTTTCTACAGTTTTTTGGCATTTTTCCATTAATCATTTTTTCAGTTAAATATTTAAGGAGGGTGCTGGTCTTGGAAGAACCGGGCAAGGAATGAGTACTGCATTAAAAGTGGAACGATTAGGAAAGAATTCAGGTGTTATTGTCAACGAACATGAGCAACTGCTGAGAGGTACTTATTTTATTTTTTTTTCCCGACTTGAAGTATTTGTACTCTTATTTCTTTCTGTATACACCTGCTTGTGATTTTATTATTTGAAGCTTAAATTTATTTATTTTAATTCCAATCTTTAATTTTAGGTTCCGATAGTCCTCCTCAGATAGCTGACCCTGCTCCGATTCCGGCTGTTAATATGGCTGAAGCTTTAAAACAGTCGACTCGTATTCTTTTGTTACAGGTTTTTTTTGTTACATGTTTTTTATTTTACATTATGTGTTTGATTTCAGACGATATAAAATGGGTTTCTTTTGCAGAACATGGTTAGTGCAGATGAAATAGATGATCAACTTGAACCTGAAGTTCATGACGAAATGAAAAAGTATGGCCAAGTAAATAAAGTTGTGATTTTCAGGGTATTTTTTCATTTTTTTTCGTAAAAATGATTCATTCATCAGGAAAAAAAGCATAAACTATAAATTAACAATACTGCAAACTTCACAAGTCGTAAGATAAAAAATAAAAAGGATGTCACATAAGATCAAATTATTTTTCATCAAAGCAGTTTTTATCCGTTTTTATTTTTTTATAAAAAAATTTAATTTATTCTCTATAATTTTTTTACCAAAAATGTTGGAAATTTTTTTCTGTTAGATTTTGAATGCACGTGACGATGAAGCAGTACGGATATTCGTTGAATTCACAAATGTTGCGCAAGCCATAAAAGCCTTTGTCGATTTAAATGGTCGATTCTTCGGAGGACGGTCAATTCGAGCATCTTTTTATGATCTTGAAGCATATAATGCAAATCATTTTGATCGATAAACTGCTTTATATTATTATTTTAATCAGCCGATAAAATATTATAAGTTTTATAATATTTTACTGTATTACAACTTATACTTTATTCTCGAAGAGAATTGCTAATCAGTTTGTATGATAAATTTTTGTATTATAATAATGATCAATTTCATTGATAAACCGTTTTACATTATATTTTAGTCCCTCACTAGAGGATTGCTAGTTCCTGGATTTTCATTCATTTCCAAATTCTCACTTCTTTAATTTTGATTCTATAAATTTACCTTTGCATGGAATTTTTGGTATTTAAGTTTATTTGTGTAAGTGGTATTCTCCTTCATGGTTTTATTTGCTCTGAGAAATCCGCAGATTGATGCACAAGTATTAGATGAACGTTTGAGGCAGTCGTTATTTAACTATGTAGATCAAGCAATTGTTGAACTACCAAGCGATGTAGCTGCACTTTTTCATCGTTTTCGTGCTGAATTAAAATTAATGACAGAGGTATTGCTGTGGTTGGCTCGATTGTCAAAAGGTTATTCTATATTTTTTTCCAATAAGAATTCAAAATATCTACACTTCTGTGGTTTTTGCAATTTATTTCGCAGTTACAATTGGGGTCCTTTTATAATTGTCTTGCTTGGTTGGTTTCCACATTACTCTGGCTTAGGATTTCGTTCAAAGTGTGAATAATCGAGCTGAACCGAGGGAATAATGCATCATATTACAATACTGCATATCCTATAACACCTGTCTTATTAAACATATAATGATGTAAACAACTGATTTATCTATTTTACTTATCTATTTTACTACTCTCTAATAAAATTAAATTTTAATTTTATAAAATTTTCGAGACTGCGATTTAAATTGCCTAGCTGTTTAAATTTTTGCCAAAAAGTGCTTTTTTGCCTCGTATAGTTTGAAAATTTTTTTCCTTAGCTTTTGTTCACAAGTTCACCATTTTTTCTCAAAATGAATTTGATATATTAATGAAGATTTTTTTTTTCGTTTAGGATAAGGGTAAATTATTTCCTAATTCTGCCTTGAGGTAAACTTAAATTGACTGCACCATTTCTGAATTGATGAATCGGGTTTCTTTGTTTGGTGGTGCTAGTCTGAGACGGTTTCAAAATGAGCAGTTGCTTTATATAATTTAATAAAAATTTGGTGAAATAAATTGGGGCTTTATGACGGATGTTTGATTTAAAACCCAAGTTTAGACGAAATAATTCTTATCTGTCGTGACTCTAAGTTTCTTGTTAAATTATTTAAATTGTTAAATAATTTCAGGCCTTTCTTATGGTCAAGCAATGGTTGGAATTCGTTATGAAAATTATTCAAAGCGAGTAGCTGTCATACATTTTCTTTTGACGGTTTTTCCGTCATACCTGTCGTCTCGAGCGCAAAATTTTGTACAAAATGTTGTGATTCTTAAATTTTTCGCTCGAATCGAAGCAATTTGTCGTTTGGTAGCTTTGTTATTTCATTTTTATTTCATCAGATATGGTGGCGTTCGAACGATGGCTGAAAGAATTTTACAGCTTTGTACGATTTATGAAAAACCACCTGTTTTAGGTTTTTTTTGATTATTGGGTCAAAAATTCAATCTTTTCTATAATTCTTCATCATTCTTCATCATCTTCTTCATTATGGGTCCTATAAGTGAATTTTTGATAGTGAATAAATATTTAGTGGGTGTGAGGAAACTGAAATTTGAATTTGCTCCATTTATTGAATTTTAAAATATTTTTTGATATTTTACACATTACATTTTACATTTTAAGCTGATTTTTTAAAAATAATCTATTATTTTCGCATTAGAAAGGATCTTGAATCATAATTTTAATTTTTTATAGGTTAACATTTTTGTATCAATAATATCAATATTACAAATGCATTTATAAATTTCATTCTATTTTATTAGGAAAATATTGAATAATAACAATAAAAATTGGAAAATTTCTCAAAAAAAAAATTCGAATTTTTCTAAGATTTATTTCATTCAAGATTTATTTATTTTATTATGAGAATATTGAATAATAACAATAAAAATTGGAAAATTTCTCAAAAAAAAAATCCGAATTTTTCTAAAAGTTTTATATTCGAGAAATTTTCAGGTACCGTCAACTATTCAGCATTGAACCGAGATTTTTTATGGCTTTTATGTCGGGATGTTATTACATTTTTTCTACCTATAATTGATAGATTAGGTCGAATTCTTCAGTTTCGATTCTTTAATAACTTTTTCATTCAAACTGTTTCTGATGGTATAATATGTTCGCATTGTAAACGAAAAGCCATTCTACCCGTTCGTGATAACATCTGTGGACATATTAATTGTTATTATTGCTATCAAGTTATAACATCATGTACGATGTGCGGAACAAATTTAAATAAGAATAATTTTCGTTTTCTACAAAACGAGTCGAACTCACGGATTGATGCGTCGGATGCAGCCATCATCTGAAACGAAACGAAAATTTATTTGCAATTTTAAAATGATGAATTTTTTTGTTTTTTTCTTATGAATTTTTAGGTGAATATTTTTGAATATTTTTAAAATTTTCCTGTATGGATTAGAATTTAAAAAGTTAATATTGGAAAATTATCTCTTTTATTTTCCTCTCCTGTGCGATTTTTCTATTTGCTTTTTTTTAATTCATTACTTTGCTAAAATTGCAAAGTAACGAATTTTAAATGACTTTTCAGAATTAGAATAGGATGGCGATTTCCCAAATGCGGCATGAAAGGCGCTATTCATTGATCACTTATCACTATCACTAAGCTTAATTTAGTGCTATCGGTGAAAATAAGTAGTACCTGCATATATCACTATATTATTATGCTGGCACAGTTATACAGTTATGCTAAAGGGAAAATATTGAACTATATATTCTCATTTCATTTATTCGTTTTACATATTTTTTTTTATCAATTTGTAAAGATTTGTTATTACAATCTTTACTGGTCATAGATTATTTCTATCATCTTTAAACATATGTTTGTCGAATTTCATGGCATCTCTTTGTTATAGAAAATACAAAATTCATAAAATAGTACGCTTAATATTTTATTCTCTTATAAAACTTATCGTGCAAAAATTAAAATGTTTTTCGGTAGTTTGGCGTATTTATTATTTTAATTTTTTCGGACATACTTAACTTTTTTTAGAAATATACCGGAAATGTAGAATAGTAAAATTCAGGGGAAAATATCTGATTCAAATGAACGAGCGCATACAATTTCGAGGGGCATTAATGCATTTAATATGAAACAATCATCGGAATATGCAGTAATTGGAAATTTTACTAAGGTTTATATAATATTTATATTTAGATTTATAAGAAATAAAGAATAACAAATGTAACAAATATTGTGAAAATGAAAAAGAGAACAATTAATTGATAAAATGGTAAAATGATTAGATAATGGAAATGGATTTTCTTTGGTAAAATATTTTCAAATGAATTGATATCTTAATCATCAACAGCAAATTAATATATAATTATAAAAAATAATAAGGAATCATAAATAGCAGTCATTTTAATTGTAGAACTAAAACGTTATTTAATGTCCCTTATCAATTTAACGATTTGTTATGGTTAGAAAAGAAAAAAATGAATTCAACGATAAGGATTTTTTAAAGATTTAAGGATTTTTTCTTGTTGGAGATTTGTTTTCTAAAATTTCTTTTCTCGTTGGACCTATAAAATACAATAGAACGTTGAATGAATGTAAAATAATAGTGATGATGATATTCCTGAAATTCGATGCCTTAGAGAAAAAGCAATCAAAGAGAGAAGTTGGTAAAAGCTTTTTGGTATGTTTGCTAATTCGTAATTGCAATTTATTATATTATTATTCAACTAAAGTTTACGAATATCGCAAATGTTACTTTGGACGAAGAAAGTATGCGATGTGAATTCAACTGTTATTTCATGAAAAACGATGAAATTCGAGTCGAGTCGAGAGAATTGAATGATAGATTTTTAAAATGAATTTAGAGGCCATTTTCGAGATTTAAAACTCCATCCAAAAGAAGGAGAAAGAACTCGCCTTTGTTCGCTTTGTTAGTGGAATTATAAGAAATTAAGGAAATAAGCAAATTTGAGAGGATTAATGTTTAAATTTTTGCAGTGCCTAGTTAGAAACTAATTTAAAATCGTTGAATAATAATCGTTGATTATTTGGAAATATTAAAAATAAATAAAATAAAGTTAAAAATTAAATAAAAATTGCGATGTAATGCGATTTTGCTAATCAACGGAGGTAAAATAAAAAATAAAGAAAATATCTACGAACTCGCTATTTATCATTATTGTTATTATTGTAATTATTATATTTTTTATTTTTATTATTATTTATTTTTATTACTAATATGAAACAATCATCGGAATATGCAGTAATTGGAAATTTTACCAAGGTCATTATTATCATTATTATATTAGTATGGTCGACTGCTCGCTAAATTAAATTCCATTATCAAAAAGATACGATATTTCTGAAATACTAATACGATAATTGTTAATAATTATTTTATTATTTTCTGGATAAAAATTTGATAAGCTCTAACGTCTAATTATTGGTAAACTATTGTGCATATAATATTCTAAATAAAGTATGAAGTATGACTTTGCTCCGATCTGTTGAATTCCACAATTTGTTTCCATTTTTTGTTATCACTATTTTCCCCTATGGATAATTAACTCCATTTAATTATGAAAGATAGCCATATGGATCAAGAATTATCTTATTTGTCCGCTTTATCTGTTATAATAGCATAAAAACGATATTTGTGCCTTAAACAATTTATAATGGATTGATTAGTGGGGATTGATAAGCGATTAACCGTTTATCGAATATTTTTTATAATACGAAAAAATTAGCAATGAATGAGAGAACTTCTCTTTGAAAATTTTTATTCTTCAGGATATATATTACGTTAAATTTAAATAAAAATTCATTTTGGAAGAATGGTAGTGAATCGAAAATAATAAAATCTTATCATTCATTTCTTATCATCCTGGAAAATCTCTTATCATTAAAAATTTAAAAAAAGTGAATGAAACAAACTTGTTGAACAAAATGAATCAGTGCTCATCTCTAGCCGAACTAGCTAATGCTGAACTAGCGACCATATATAGGAGACACATTAAAACAACGAGAATAAGTAAATTAACGATAAGAATTAAAGTATTCTTATCGAATGTTTTTTCAGCAGCTTCAACAATACTTTGCTTCCGAGACTGAGGAGCCATTACACAATGTTGGAGCGACTAGCTGAAATAATGATGAGTTCGCGAACTAAACGCCGTTAATCTTGCTAATGTTATTTCCCTTGATTCTTTATGTTCAGCAACTGCAGTTCTCCGGTTATATATTTATTATTATATTTTCAATATGCGAAGATTTTTAGTTGCATTATTTTCTTAGAATCTATAAACATTTTTTATATTTTAATAATACCCAAGGCCTAAGGTTCACTTTTTCATACATACTGAAAAAGATAAAATTGTAAAATTCCTTTCTCATCTATGCATGGTGTGAGTGCTCCTCAACATTGCCTACTCTATGAGGGGTCTGCAAATTCTGTGCTGTTCTCAGTAGAGATTTAAGTTGTGGTATCTGGAATCTGTTTGAGTCCCTTTCTAGCCAGCCTAAGTTGTATTTATACATGTGTAATACACAATACGTTGCAATAAATCTTCATGAAATTATACAAGAACCAAAAATCAGCACTGGTGATAAAATTAGCCAAGTGACGGGAACTTTAGGAAGAAGAAATACGGAAAGCTGGAGAAATACCAGAGGTTAAAAGAGGAACCAACGAAAATGTGGAAAGTGAAGGCCAAAGCAGTCCCAGTGGTGATAGGAGCTCTAGGCTCTCATTCCTAAACTGGGAAAGTGGATCCAACAGATTCCAGGATGAGTGCACTGTTAGGAACAGCAAGGCACAGGATCTTCAAGCTTCCAGGCCTTTAATAGAGAACTTAATGTTGAGGAACACCACTCACGTGGTATGAGAAAGGGATTTTTTAAAATGCAGTATATTACAATCGATTCTCATGAAATTATATTTAAAATTCACTTATTGTATATTTATATGTACAGGAAACGTGAAACATTGAAAAATGCAATAAATTCAATAATTTATTAAAAATCGGGTAATAAGAGCAAATGATCCATGGTACTTCCGTGATTCCTTTCTGCGCATGTTCGGCTGCAAATTTGGAGCCTTGAGATTGAAATATGGGAATTTAATAAAATCCATAGTTTGCGCGAACTAAAGTAACCCTAGCATGTTTCTACCATAAAATTTAAGTCGTATCTCTAAAGATGATTCAAAAATTAAAAGAAATCATTTGGCAAAAGCAAGCACTATCTAAAGTCTCATTTCCCGTTGATTCCCAAATCCGCCTTCCTAAATGATTCTTCAGAAAAAAAGAGCCTCATATGCAGTGGAATCATGCAAATCAGAAATAATGCATGTTCTTGGCTGAAGAAGAAATGGCTTAATTTCATCGCCTTATTTTTAGCAACAGCAATTATCGTTTACCAATTTGGTGGTATTTCTAAAAATACTTTGGAATTATCAGATTCTTTCAAGACTGTCGCTAATTGTCAATGATTTATTATGCATGAATTAATTATCATTAATTGTAAAACTAAAATATTTTATTTTATTGTGCGTAATAAATTATTTGTAACGAAGAGGAAATATTAATGTAAAATAGTCGACTGACTTGTGAACGCAAAGTAGTTTCTTGTCCTTCAACACTGAAAGAAAGCAATCTTCGTTGTAATTTCATTTTCCTTCGATTAGTAAAGTGCGAAAGTCTCGATGAACGCAATCGAACGCCTTTAGCAACGAAATCTCTGAATTTTCGCGGCGTTATTGCGATTCATTCCAGGGAAATCAATTTTTTTTCAATTCTGAAATGGCTAACTTTTTTGGTTGATCGTCAGGAATGAAGTTCCAAACCTTTCCCGACCCGACAAATTTGCTAAAAGCACCCACTTTCCTGCTATCCGACCCTATAAACCAGTGGATACCACTTGCGAATTTCCCCACACAGCATCACCCTGATGGACATAGTGAAAACGGACGAATTTCTCACCGCTCTCTATATATAAAAGACCCACTTCTAGTAATTTTCCAAGTTATGCACTGGTTTCATAGCTATTTCAAAATATTATATAAGACAATACATTAAAATACAAGCAATATATTAAAATTGAATTTTTCGATAGATAAACGTTGAATCGTTGAATTGATAATGCCAAATTAAATCGTGATTCTTCAGTGATTATTTCTAAAAATTTTTCATGTGGTACTCACTTATTCTTTACGACCATTTATTTCCCGTAATTTTGAAAAAGTTGAATAAGTTGAATATCCATTTTGATAAACAGTTAAAGACATTACCAGTATCATCAATATTATAAATTGAAAAAATCGTGAAAATCTATATCGTTTAAACTTCTTGAATATCATTTCTAAGTGATAAAAATGATAAACTTTAATATTGCATTGATTTTTTCCTGTTCTATAAGAATAATCGCAACTAGAAATAACAACTGTTTCGTAATTTAGTTATGCATGAAGTATAGGATTTCTCATAAAAACTCATATCAACTCTGAGCAAGCCAAATGAATTTTTTAAAGATATTTTGTTAAAAGTAGTGTACGAGAATATGTTACTTTAAATGGAAAATAAACCTGTTCAAAATCTCCTTCCTAAAACAACATTTATGATTTCGTTAGTTTTTTTTTTGGAATGCAAAAGAATCGTTTGATCCATGAAGATCCATCGCAACTATCGCGATTTCATTTTTAATATCAATCAGTTTTTACATCAGTTAAAGCTTGATTGACTCCAATCAAGCCGAAGTTTTTATTCATTACTATCCATAAATAACGAGTTTAACAATAAAGTTAAAATGACAATTAATTTCTATTTATCTAGGTCTCCACTATTTATCAGCACTTAAATTTTCCATAAAAAGTAGCAAGTTTTAAAAATTTTATTTAAACAATATATAAAAAATCAACAAAGTTAAAATAAAACAATAAAGTTAAAACAGTTATATTGCTCGTTTACCTAAGTCAAAAAGTATCACTTGAATGAAATCTGCAATAGCTTTCCGTCTTTCTACAACATTTTCTTGATTAAATTTTTCGATATACTCGGCCATATCGACCATTTTTCCCACAACTACGGTAACATTCTGCAAAATGACCTATCTACTTAACTATTTATGGATATATATGTTATCAAATTATGGATGAATTTGTGAACATTTATTAATTTTTTGATTTATAGACAAGATTCAATTGAATGAATAAACTGAACGAATAAATAAATGAAAGTACAAATATATCAGTTTTTCCTCTTTTAAATTTTTACGCATTTTCGAAAAAAAAAAGAAATTATAAAATATTTCAGTTATAAAAATCATGAAAAAGTTGCTTATATTTACTAAATATATATATATTTAGTAAATATATATATATATATATATCAAAATATATATGCACTTTAAATTAATATACTTTACCACATTACTTTTTTGAATAAAAGCTATAAAATGACCTTTAGTTTAATTTTAACTTAATAAAATAAGTAAAGCAAGCACCTTGCCAAAGTGAGGATAATAAGGCTTTGAAGCAGGCCAAACATCAGTCATACGATGAATCCATATTGGTAGTATTCTTGGTGGATTAACGCATTCCATCACCTAAATTATTAAATTGTTATTATTAAATTGCCTCACTGCAAAATTAAGAAAGTCTATTATTTTTTTTTTGGCACAAGAGTGCGAGAACATTAAGAAATCAAAAATATGGAAAAATAAAAGAATGGCAATAAAAGAATAAATGGGTTAAAAAGCAGGATAAAGTCAGTCATCAATAACTTCTTAAGAGAATAAACAAAAGCTAGAAATAGATATCATGTTTTATTAGTTTACATCATTGCTGATTTAACTGGCTTCCCAAACAAGTAGGATAAAACGTTTTCAAGCCTCCTAATTAGATGCAATACCTAAAAGTAACTGAAGCCATTCCTTTTTCCACCGTCTAAGCCCATATATAGCTGGACCATCCATTCATCTGCAAAATTTCTTAACTATGTTAGTTCATGTTTAGCTTTTTTAAACAGTAGCTTGATTGCTTGCCAATTTCTATGATGGACATGATGGATAAAAAAATTTTCTAATAAAGGCACGCGATGTTATTATTAATGCAGACGGCATTCGAGTGAAGTTGGATGTAATCATATGAGACTCCGCTTAGCTAATATTTCCACTTCATTGATATTTTACTGTCATATGTATAATTTATAACGAGATAGATGAGAATTTTCATTATAGAGCTAGCCGACAAAGATACAACTTAACAACTTTATGCGGACGCAGTTTTCTTACAATTCAAAGAACACGATCTTAACATAGTATTAATAGGATTTTCGATTTAACCTCTTCACTATCCATCTTTCGAGCCAAGTATCAAGTGTTTGTACCAATGACAAATTCAGAAAAGCTATATAACTTGTGCTCTATAAACTTTTATATATTGCATCATTCTTAAAAATGAAAAAATAAATAATAGTTGAAGAGTTTACCATTCTCGCTATGCCCCATTTGATTCTTATTGGTTCTGAAGTAACCCGACCTTCTGGGAAAACATGCACCCACCTATTTTCATTCAATTTTTCAATGCAGAAATCAACTCCTTTCTGATAAATGCCAGCTCCTCTAATTATTGGTACACCACGACCATGTGAAAACATCCTGCAAAGTTCATTTTACATTTCATAATAAAAAAAAAAGCATGTGCTGAAACGGATAATAATAGTTATCAAGATTTTAATTCAGTAAAACTTCCTGTAAATTTGAATTCATTAATACTTCTTATAAACCAGTTTAAGTTTGAAAAAAGAATCGAATCATGCTGCTATTAACTATTGAAATTTACTAATCTGCTATCGAATTTTTTTATTAGCTAAAGTCCTTCCCATTACTAGCTAAATTCTCTCCACTGGCTAGTCACATTGAGCTATATGCTAGGGAGTCCCTTGCCTATAGAAACACAGGTGAGTCGTCAGCAACACCCGGACACAGGTTCACTCCTGTGGAGAATCAGAGTTGCTGCCAATCGAGCAACAACCCAATGAGCCATTCTATCCCCAATCTGCTATTGAATATTTAAATAAATAAAATAAAAAAATTTTTATATAAAGATCTCACTATAAAAACACTACAAACCATGTGTGTAAGGGAGTTTTGAAGCAAATATCATGCGCAGCCATTATGTAACGATAATTGCAAATGTTCGAGAAAAATTCCCGGAATGAGAAAATCGCTGGAAAAAAAACTATGTAAAAACTATGAAAAACTAAGCGAAAATTATATAAATAGAAAAAAAAAAGATCAAACGAAAAAGACAATGAAAAAATCAAAAAATACCCCAAAAAAGTGGATCGTCACAAACAGAACGATGATTTGCTACAGTGAGTAATGGCCTTGTACGATCTTTTATAGCATCCAGTAATGTTCCTTTATTTACCGCATTTATACGATTTACACCTTAAACAGTTTCACAGAGCATAAAATCGGCAATAAAAAATATATAATAACAGATAAATCAACTACGATATAATAATTGATGTGGCAAGCCAAAACGAGACGTTTCCAACTAATATAACACCTCTCGGGGGCCTTTCTGAAATGGATTTGAATCATCACTGCTAATCAATATTTATACAGTTCTAAAACTACTACTAAGATTTAAAATTCTAGAATTTTTATATTTAATAGATTTTCGCCATAAAAAAATTCTCCTGTTAACTACCAGATCTGCATTTGCATCCATTTTCAAGGAATCAATAACGTAAAATGCGATAAGTCCCAATCCGAATATGGTACCCAGTCAAGCCTCTGATACAACTGAATGTTCAGAAGGTGCCGAAAGAAGAATTTCAGCTAAGTTTTTGTCGAATCAAAAGAGCAAGAAGAGTTTCCTATGCTAACAGTAACAACAACATTAATAACTACATTAATAATATTAATTTACGTGGTAATCAAATAAAAAATTGCAGGTATTGTTAGAAAAAAAAAGATTTCAAAAAGGAAGAAAGGAAAAAAAACCTGGTGCGAAGACGAGTTTTGAGAAGACGAAAGCGGATGCAAGTGCGAAATTCGTTAAAAATTTATTTAATAAATTTGGATTTTTCGGAAATGGCCACGCAAATTTAAATTCATCAGTTATTGACATTTTCCTCGAGGAAAAATTCCATTATCGAATAATCTGAAAAAATTCTAGAAAATTAAAAGTTACGAAAGCTTCATTTTACAATAAAAACTGTCAAATTAACTGCTTTCAAGTAACTAATTTTCTAAGGTAATTCTGTCATTCAAACAACTTTTTTTATTTACAACAGCGCTTCACTTCCGATTAACTGATGTAGCAGGCCAAAGCGATAAGCAGTCGTTTCCAACTAATATAGCGATTACCCTCTTCCGATTAGGCTTCGCTGGTTTCTCGGACCAGACGAAGTTTGTCAGGGAGTCACCTGATGACAGTAGAAGAAAATACAGACCACCACCGACACCATTCAGATTGAACTGAAAGACAAGTCTCTGAAAGAGCGGAACCCCGAAATGCGAGCAAAAACCCCATTCCAGTCCTTAAATTCCTTTGTCTTAGACCACTTTCGCCCCTCCCCCCCCCCCCCCCCCCCCCCCCCACCCTCACTCTAACTTATCAAAAGACAAAACAAAAAACCAAAAGGAAATAAAATGAAGGCCAACAAAAGGTCGAAACAAGGCTACAGCTAAGACAACGTTGACCGAAATTTTCAAACCCTCGAGAGGTCGAATGTGGTCGCATAAGTCTCTTTCTTTTTTGGCGGCAAATTAAATTGAATTACGCATTAATTCTTTTCAAATATATTTTTCGAAGTGATGAATTTTTTTATAAATTTTTTTGTTCGCAATTCTCTTTGTTTTTTCTGAATTTTTCGAGGAAAATTTGGTTTAATTTCGTTGCGTTCCTCGGAATTTTTTCCAATTTAAGTGATTTTATATTTTTCGAAAATTTGACTTTGAAAAAAACTAAGTTTTATTTCATTTAAACAAATGAAATATTTTAAATAAATCGGAAGAAATATTTAAACTAAAATCGCTCGAATGCACAAAACAAGTAAATTCGTAAAATTGCAGCGTTAAAATTCGTAAAAGAAAGGCGAAATATTTGAGGAAAGGCGTTCGCTAGGCGTTAACGAACGAGTAAATGGCGTGAATAGGCGAAAAGTAAGGGAGAGCTGAGGAATGGTGGCTTAAATGCTTACTTGTGCGAAGTACGTTCCGCTGAAAACATTTGTAAATTGTGAACTTCACCGCCGGCCGAACAGGCTCGCCCGTCCCCCGTCTTGTCATCGGATCCGACAAGGACTCGCTTGGCAATCGACGAGTCGCCAGTATCGCCTGAACGCAGGTTCACTCTTGCCGGAAACAGCGCCTCGGCATCGACGCTCCAGACTGGTCAACAGCCCATTCTATTTTCTGCTGCTCTGTTTGACGATCCTGGCGCTCGAAGAAGCGTGGTAGATCTGTCGGATTCGAACCATAGCCATTCTTGATTTTCACTGGCAATCATTCCACCAATCGGCTGATGCACCATTAAATAAAGGCTAACAAAGAGTTAGTTAGACAACACAGCAGAGTATTTCAAAGGTTATAATTTCTAGTTGCTTTACAGTAAAATGAACTTATGCTTATGCTTAGTAGTTCACCTCCATTGAAAAAGAATTAAGTGGAGAGATTGCAGATAACTGCCAATTTTATTGTATCCGCAACTGACCGAAATAGGTTTATTTAATATTTATTGTTTTCAACTTTTATATTCGTATAAATATTAAAAGCGCTGAAAAAAGGTTATTGGCGAGAGAATAAGGAATAGAAAAAGGTAAATGAGCGATCTGATTAATTCGTTCGAGGTTAAATTAATGGAATATTTATCATTTCTGGACTTTCTGTCTTTTAATTAAATAAAAAAAATTTTTTTTTCAGGAAGTTTGGAAATGTGTGAATTTATGCAAAATAAAGCGTCATTTATGCGAAAGGGATTTAATCGTTTCGCATTTAACATCGATCGTATAATTGCAAAATATAGCCAAAAGCGAAATGAAACTATTTTTATTGATATGAATACAATGACGGTTATATTACTTATAAAATTATATTTTTTATTCACGAAAGGTATTGAAAGTAAATGGTTTTATGGCAAAGTGTGGTCGTTTATTTTGGTAATTGAAAAGCCTTCCAATTTTTTTGCATCGCATGCTGTCGAATTTGGAGTCGCCGAGCTTCGCTTTCATCTGAACTCAACTCGGCTATTTTTGAGAGAATCGTTTTTTAATGGGAAACTTTTTAAAGCGAATCTTTTTCGCAATAGGGGCGATAGGCGGAGTAGATGTTTTGTTCAATACTTCTGAATTCATTCTAAAAATATTTTTTTCGTAAATTTTTTCCATAATTTTGTTTAGCTCAAATCAACTGCTAAAGCACCATATAATTTTAACAAATATGCTGAACAAACTTTAATTCGGCATTTCGGTAATTCTGTTCTCTCAGCACCTTCTAATATAGAACTGGATGATCCAGAAGATTTTCGTGAGGCTCAAAAGCTGGACCAGGTCATAGTTTTGATATTTTCTTTTATATTTGCACATATATTTACATATATTTGTTCAAATTTTGTTCTTTTGTGTATCTATATATCTGTTCTTCTTTATTTTAGTATTTTGTGAATAATTAAAAGTTATGCGAGTTTCTTATCTTCATACAGTTGTTGCCTTCCATGGTTCTTTTCTAGTTTAAATAGATTCTACAATTTAATTAGTGAATATGAAAGATTACAGAAAAAAAACTACATCATCATTCTAATGATTTGCTAACACTGATAGATTTCAAATTTATTCAAGTTTAAGTTTATGTTTAAAATTTCCAGTTTATTTGAGTTCAGTTTAAATTTTAGTTTTCAGTTTTTTTTTTAAGGAATTCGAACAATCCTTTTCGGCATTGAATTCAAGTCGTCTAAAATGCGAACTTTTTGTTCCATCTCAAGTTAGAAATTTTTTCGAATATTTTCGAGTATTGCAATTTTAATATAAAACATTATATTTTGCTCTTCTCTATATTCTTGTTATATTTGTTATATTTTTCTCTTAAATCAACTAATTAACTAAATCAAGAATTAACAGGTAATTGGAACAAATCAAAGAAAATCTATGCGATTGCGTGAAAAACTTCGTCTTCCACATACTCCAAAGGTATTCTTTCCTTACTTTTTATTTTTCCTTTTCTTCCCTTATTTTTTAAATATTTTTAACCATCATCAACCAGTAAAGGCTATCAAACTGGAGATGGTTTAATCTCAGAAAAAATTACTTTTCAAATAGTACGTTTTGTAAATTCGTTAGTTTTTTTCATATTTCACAGGAAATTAAATGTGAATTGGGGCATAGTGATCCAATGATATTTCCTTAGCTGAAGCAGACTGGAGTAAACTATTCATTAAAAATGGAGTCTGCGTGGTACTTGGGATCTATCCACTCTTTTATCTTTAAATAAATCTATATCAACACCATAAAGAATGAAGTGAATGTTGTTAGAAAAATGGAATTAATAGCATCACCCTGATGATATTTTTCTATTATTGCATTCTGATATAATATCTTAGAACATTTATGGATATTTGGTTGCTACTATTTATTTTACCAGAGAAAACTTTTTTATTTGCAAGAGAGAGGTGTGGACCAGGAAAGTTTTAATGTTGAAAACTTTACCAAACCACTTAAATTAAACTTTGTAATAACTTATAAACAATTTGTTTTAAAATTAATGGATTTTATAATTTTGATTGGGCTACATTAAGGTTAATCCTTGTTTCGATGGTTGTAGACGGACGGGAGTCAATGATTTATCACGAATTTTGGATGGTGAGGCTTTTTTCACTGTTTGAGTAATATTCTATTGCATATTTAGCATAGTACATCAAAGTACGTATATATCACACGTAATTATCATTTATCTATCTTATTTTATCTGTATTATTTTATCTGTCTTATATATGATTACTGGTGTTGATATTTATATTCAAGAAATCTTTAAGATCTCTAGTGCAACATTAATATGCTATTCATCTCATTTTAAAAAATTTGTCAACATAAAAATCATTTTTAAGATGGTACAATGAGTATTCGAAGCGGCTTTTTGAACGATAATGTACGTTGTAGGTTTATACTTTTCATGAAAAATATTTACAGTTTTTTCAATTGTTTTCAAAGAATTTGAAAAATTTTTTTTTGATAAAAAACATTGAAAGAATAAAATGGAATTTTCCAAGATATGCGAAGGGGATATTTTTTGAATTTTTTATGGTGATAGTGATGAGGGGAGAGGGGTGGGGAGGCGGGGTGAGGGGAAGAGAATTGTTGGTTGAAACTCATATTATTTAAATTTTTTGTAGTTTATGGATGCTTTATATTGTTTATAAAATAATCAAAAATCTTTCTTAAATTTGTAAATTATAAGTAATCAATACTCCATTTCAGGTTGATAGTTTTGTTATACCGCGTATTTCACAGCCATATGTATTTGGGGCGCCTGTTCATGAGAATCATGAAAATGAACAGCTTCTTGTGAATACGACTTTGTAAGTATTTCATTTGTTCGCAGTTTTATTTCGTTACGATGATCTTATTTAATTATAGGTATATTATAACAATATTATTATTTCCTATTCTAACATGTCATACTTGTTAGGCTGGTTCCGCTGGCTGTAAGAGTAAGGCAATTCGAAGCTATATCTTCCACTGTCTGGTCGCATATATCGCTGGGCCTCCTATATGTTCAAAATCTCTTCTGTTTTAATAGTTCAGATCTTGGTTGAACAGGGCAAGTAACGTATGAGTTAATTCTGTGATCAAAGAACATGATCAAACATTGATCTGTGACATTGATTGTTGTTACTGCAGATTCGAGCGAAGTTGATAAAAATATAAAATCTTTTAAGTCTTTGTCTGCTTGGCGTAAAATATAGATATGAGTCCATATTTTATCTATTTAACAAGGCAGCCAGAAAGTAAAACTTTGTTTTTTAGTGCTTTCTCGGCAATTTCATAAAGTGTAGCTGTTGTTATCCAGGACATATTTCGTCTTTAGGCATTTGAGGCAATCATGGGCCCAAATTATTTTAAATCTGGCACTTCCTCAGTAGATGATGATTCCATTGAACAAGTATTTTATCAGCATCTGGAATGCATGAAGAAGGCTTTTTTATTTCATTGGTAGAAGATTCCTTTTTTTGCTACAGTTATCGATACAATTGGAGATCTGTTGTAATTTTTCATAACTGTCAGGACGCTATATTTGCGTCAGGTATAACAGTTGCACGAAGCACAAAATGTGGATAACAGATTTCTGAAAAACAAGCGATGCTCATATGATTTATGACGAAATATGAGTGGTTATTGCTTAATTCCTGATCCATAAATGCCTTTCACGTTTCCTTTGATCAAGATCTTCGTAGAGCCTATAGAGTTTTCACTTGCTTTAACAAGTTTCAAGAGTCATAGTGTTAGACCTCACTTTATTTTGAAATCTGGAACCGTTTTACCAGATCTTTATAGTTATCGCATACATTATCGAGTTATAGGTATCGTGTTCATTGGAGGATGCTTCATTATAACCAAGCGCTTTTACTATAGAATTACTTGAGATAGAAGTGCAGGTGGTTTCCAGAGTTCTTCTTCTTCTAATAGTTTTCACCATTGCTGGCTCTACTGGCTACAAAGATAAAGATTCCAAGCTACGCGATCTGATGCCATCGTTGAAAATAATAAAAGCCACTCCTTTTTCCATCATTTAAGTCCATATATTGCTGGTCCATCTATACGTTCAAAATCAGTCCAGGTCTTGATTGGTCCAGCTCGCTTTGACGCCACTTATCATAGGGTTTAGCAAATAAGTTATTGGAAATTGCTTCCACAATTACCATGCGACTTTTAATGTCTATACTGCTATCAAAAGAAGAGAAGTGAATTTCACACGGATTTACTAAAATCACAAAATTTAGAAAATATAATCGTAATGAATTGTTTAAATTGCTGTTTCTGCTTTATTATTATTATTGTTAATGGATAGAGCGATGCTTTAAGGCTTATAGAATGCGAAGGTATTCCAAAGAGAATCGTTCACTCATAAAGGCATTTTATCAGTCTACATCGGCGCAAGTCTCTTAGTATGAGGAAGTAACAGAATCCTTCGAAATAAGAACTAGTATCTATCAAGGCTGCATCCTTTGACGCAATATTAAGCTGTGTGATCGATTGGATAATGGGCATTGCTTGTCGGTACTGAAGAGGTGTAAGGTATAAATCAATCCAGAGACCGCAGGTCGTATACGATCGTATACGCTGATGATGAAGGCTGATCATTCTTTTTCTGACAATTATGATGAGATGTAATCAATGAGAATGTGTCAGCAAATGTCGCGAGAATCGGACTCAGGATCAATATAAATAAATGTGAGTTTTCATCTATATAGCAGAAGCTGATAAAATACCTATTTTTGTCAGTTTATCACTGGTGCCAGATTTTAAACGTCTTGGATTCATTTTCAAATGAGCAGGCAAAAGATGAAATTACAACTTGGGTAACGGCAGTTAAAAACCACAGTTTTTCCGGTTGATGAAACCTTTATGGAGCCGCCGCGAAATCACCATAAAAACGAAAGTCTGCGTCTTATATGGTTTCGATATCTGCCTTTGTCAACTCATATCTAAGACACATTTTACGGGTTTTATAAAATCTCACATGACTGCATCCACCTTCTTTTAAATACCATCTGCATTAATATTACCATTACACACCGTCGCTTTCACTGGTTAAGGCAGTTTCTGTGTCGCTCACCAAAGACATTGACACATATTTCGCTAAAACTCTATAATGGATGATGTCAAAAGTGAGCAGGGTCAATCAAGACCTGGATTGATACAAGCAGGAAAGATTTTGAAAAATAACTTCTATTACTATTAGCAGTGGCATCTTGGAAACGTAGCCAGTGGAGCAAGCCTCACGAGGAATAATGAGAGCTATTAGAATAAGAAAGATGAAGATTATATAGATAGGAAAAATATAAATATAAAAAATTAAAAAAATGTGAAGAAATAAAGAGGGGAAATAATAGTTATTATAAATCAGGTTCGAAATTCAGAGATAATTCATAAATCCATAAATTCCATTTTGTTTCGATTTTGTGCGACAATTTTTTTATTTCACAATAGTTCATGTTTGACATTATTTAAATATTTTGCGCAATATATTCAAATTTTTTTGTATATTTGCTAGCAAATCTCTGAAATCAAATTTATATTTAAAGCTCTATTTATAAAATTAGATTCAAGACTTCATTCCAAGATCTCTTGTGGAGAAATATTTCTTGAATTTTTAAACATTTGTGGAGGAAAAAAATCAAAAAAATTTGGTTTATGGAAGTTACAAATTGGCATATGGTGATTTTGAATTAATGTTTAGATCTAAAAATGTCAAAAGTAAGTAATGTGTGTTTTCAGTCCCATTACTGCTTTGCCACAGCTATATATGCTTGGAACACCAGTTCATGAAGGTGATGAAAATGCTCAACTTTCTGTGAATGAGGTTCGTAAATTTTTTTTGTAAAGGTCTAATCTGAAATTCAGGTTTTCAATTGTGCTTTGATACAATCCAGTTGGCTACATTTTTTTTTTAAAATATTTTCACATTTCCGTAACTGCTTCAACAGTTGGTTTAAGTACAGTTAATTATGCGAAAGAATTAACTAAAATATATTTTAGTTATTTTTAAATTAAAATATATTTTAATTTGTTTTATCATATTTTATATTGTATGAAATCCTTTCTACAATGCTTTTCTTTGAGATTGCATAGTTTTTCTTTGATTTATTCATTTTCATATTTTCAATATATGCAGGAAATAGCATACTCAAGTAAAAAGGATTATTTATTATCGTGGTTGAACGATGTGAAAAAATTGTTTGCTGAAAAATCGCTACCAGTTGATCGTATGTATCGACGAGAAAGAGCAAGAAAAATGGCTCGAAATAAATATCAGACTTTAGGATATGCTATGCCATTGCCTAAGCTTCGGAAACGAATGAAATATGATTTTTTATACAATCGATCAGATTATTAATTTGATATTATATTTTATATTATGTTTTGTACTGAATCCTTTGTATCCTTTCTTCATCACCTTTTATGTTTTTTTTTAGAAGAAGCGAGAAGATAGTCGTCTGGACGAAAAAAATTTATTCCTTAGAAAAATAATAGCACAGTTTTATGTTTTACTAGGGATTAAGAGAGTTCAGTCCATGTCATCACAAAATAATTCTTTAAAGATTTAGAAGGAAGAAGGAAAAGGGAAAGAAAAATGAGTGCTTCTTGCTTAAATGATTTTTGATAAAACTGATTTTTATTTTTATAAAGCAACTTATATAATTGCTTTTTTTTATATGTTGAAGAAAATTTCAAAGTTTTAAAATTTTTTGATGCAATTTTCTTTTTACCTTTTTTTTTATTTTGAAACTAATAAAATATTGCTAAAACTTTAAAATTTTTGATGAATTATTCAGTTTTTCCACATAATTAATGTTTATTTTAATGGCAAATATTTTGAATTTAAAGAAAACTGCAAGGTTTTCTAATTAAAATTTAGTAAATGTCTAATGAGCAAATAATTTTTAGCTATTTGGCGATGATAAATTTGATATTGAGAGATTAAATAATCAGGAAATTATGTCTGTTTCATGGACTATCGATGAATTTCTTGAAGCTGAGGTAATTTGTGATTCGTTTGAACTATTTTTTATTGATATAAGCACATTTTTTGGTTGTTTTAAAAATATTCGTTGTTTTTTGTACTCTCTTTGAATTTAGTGATTTTTAAGCTGAGGATTCCTTCAAATATCGCTCGTAATTTACGAAATTTATTCGAAAGTGGATACGAAGTACCGTTCATTGCCCGTTACCGTAGCCATTTAATAGGAAAGGCTTCGACTGACGATCTTCGGCATGCAATCGAAGCATATGATAATGCCAAGTATTATTTTTGCAATCATATACTTCTTTTTTTTGTTCTCCTGTCATGAATAAAAAACTAAATATACTGGTTAAGTGAGTTTGTCTTTTTTTTCAAATGCTTAATTTATTGGCTTTTTAGAGCTTTAAAAACAAAGGCGGAAAAGATGATGAAACAAATTGATGCGAGAGTTAAAAATGTTGTCGAGAAGGAATCCATAAAACGAGCTTTATCAATGACAATGGATTCTAATGAACTTGATATTCTTTTTGAGCCGTTTAAGAAAATTAAAAATGGTACTCTTGCAAATCGAGCAATGTAACTTTTATAACTTGTTTTGCTGTTTCCATATTTCTTTATGTTATACAATTCATATTATTTCCAATTTTCCAATTTTTTCGTTTAGGCAATTAGGAATAGATGTTATTTGCCAGCAGATGCTTCGTTCAGAGGAAGTCAATTTGTTTACTTTTGTCGATTCTTCAAAAGGTGAAAATTTTTTTAAAAAATCGACTATCATCGATTGATTATTAGGGGTGCAAAAGAATGGTCCAGAAATTTCCAATATTTTATCCAATTCATAATTTAAATTTTGGTGATTATTTTATATATTTAAATTTATTTATATTAATATATTTAAATTTTGGTGATTATTTTAAAAAAAACAATCTTTATATTGTATATTAGAAGATCTGAACACGATTGAAAAAGTGGAATATCAAACGATTAATTTATTGTCACATTACATTCATCGAATGGATATAACACAAAAATTTTTCAAAGACGTGTATGTTTTCTTGCTATATAATGGAAAATTGTACTTTTTTTGTCTTCATAACATTTTTCTCAAAATCTGGCACCATTTCAAATTAAGTTCTACTGAATCACTTGATCCTTTGATAAATTGCCTTTTTTTTGGCTTGTGGGCCTTCTTTTATTGCCGTGTTTTTAGGTCTGCAAATTTCCATCTACCAGGTGTTCGTATCGCAGTAAAATCATGGGTTCGTAAAAAAGCGAAGGCTTTGAAACCGAGTGATGCAGATTTCCATTTAATTGAACATTTTAAAGCATACATTTCATACGATAAGGATGTGCGATTTGTAAAAGATTTTCAGGTTTTTCTTTCTCAATTTTTTAAAATTTAATTTTTTAAAATTTCGGCTGTTTTTTGGTCTGTTGTTTTAGATTTTTATAGTTTTATTTTTCAAATAAATAAATATGCATATATATATATAGGAAAATTTGTTGCGAAAACTGCGTTAAATAGAAAAAAGATTTGGGTCTTAGAAAAAAAATGAATTTTCATGAAGACGTTGAATATTTTTAAATTTTACCGTACGCACCCTTTGACAAATATATTTGCCTTTTTTTGGCTTCATTTTAATTTTAATTGCTAACTATTGTGGGCTTTTATTGCTATTTATTGTTTTTAAGTCTGCAAATTTTCATTAGGGTAAATTAATAAACCTTTTTTAACTTTAAAAAATAATTTAAGATTATGGCGTTAGAACGGGCATCTTCGAAAGGTATAATTCAATGGAAAGTTGATGTCGATTCGAAAATTATACAGCAGCATCCATGTTTAGATATGCATTGCCACTTTGCTCATCGGGAAATTTTTCACAGAGCATTGGAAGATTCTACAAATAGATTTCTTATTCCATCTATTGAGAGAAATTTACGGTTTTGCCATCTTCTTGCTTTTAATTTAACAAATTTATCACACAGACAATTTACGGGACCATCAGTATCATTAGTATTATTTATATTTTTTCTATAGGCGTCGTTTATGTGATCGAGCTGAACGATCCGCCATTGATTGTTTCGCAAAAAATCTTCGTGAATTGCTGATAACAGAACCATTGAGGGGGTCAGACGTACTTGCTATAGATCCAGGTTTTACTCATGGTTGTAAATGTGCCTTAGTCGATAAAATCGGTGCTTTATTAATTTTTTTTCAAACTATTTCTAGTTTGGTAAACTGCAATGATTTGAGTAAAAGATTTGTAAAGGATTAGCTTTAAATCTCATATTGAAGGGTCATATGAAGATGTAGATACAGGTACAAGTGGTTCCTTGACATATCTACTTTTCTTTTTTAATGAGATTTGTACTAGGCAATCAACTGGCACTGAATCCACGTTTGCCTTCAGTCGAGTTGGTCGAGTTGTGTTAGGAAGACGCTATAAATTATCTTTTGTAGCTATTATTTATATTCCGATTTGTCATGAAACTTTTTAATTTTTATTTTTTATTTTGCTTTTTAGGTGGCTTAATTGATACAGGAGTATTTCACTTGAATGGTGCCAAATCAGAAATGGATAAATATGCGCAATCAGTTGTGAAATCTTTAACATCGAAATCAGCTTCATCACAGACAATTATAGCTATTGGTAACGGCAAAGGAAGTAGAATAGTTCAGATAGGAATCGCACATATGATTAAAAGCAATATGTTTCTTCCAAAAGTAGTTCGATTTTGGTTTGTGTTTTTTTTGTGTTGCTCATTTCATCTAAAGCACTTATCAGTTTTCTCTCGAATATTGGAATTTTCATGCTTAATTAAAATAAAAAAATTTTTTTTTAGCGTTGTCTCTGAATGCGGCGCATCTGTATATAGTGCAAGTGAACTTGCAGCTGAAGAACTGCGATCTATTGATATAAATTTACGTAGTGCTGGTTCGTTTAAACTTAAATAAAAATTTTAAACATATATTAATGATAATTTATAATTTATTTTAAATTATAAATTATTTATTTTACAGTGTCTTTAGCAAGGCGGATTATTGACCCTATCTCAGAGTATGTAAAAATTGCACCAAAACATCTTGGAATTGGTTCTTATCAAGTATGTATTTTGTTTTAGCAATCTAGATGCTTTTATAGGTGCTAATTAGTTTTGGCTTTGGTTGAGAGCAAGTAGCATGACGAAAATAAAGGAAAAAGCGGTGGCTACCCACATGCATATCGATAAGCGATTCCATGATAATAGAATCATCATCCTTGATAATAGAGCTAGCCAAATTTGAAATGTTCCGTGTGAATAGAAGAAGAAATAAAAATATATATTATCTTCAAAGAATAAGTGGATATGTTTTTTATTGGGAAAAGCATTCTTGCAATTATTGCTTTGAAATAGATTTCAAATTTGATTGAAAAATCCCTTCCAGCATTCAATCAATGAAAAACGGCTTGATCAAATGCTTGATATTGTTGTTCGAGAATGTGTGAGCAACATAGGAGTGGATATTAATGCAGCATCATTGCAAATCCTACAGTTAATTTAAATTGAAACTCAATGATCATTTAATTTAGATGCAAAAACAGACTTATTTTCTGAGTCATTTAGGAAAGTTTCTGGATTAAATAAAACTACAGCTGCAAATATCATCAAATATCGCCAAAAGAATGGAAAATTTTTTAGTAGAGAAGCTCTTAAGGTTATTATTTTATTTGAAATTCTTCTTTCGATCATATCGTTTTCAGGATTTTTTTTTTTAAGATTTCTCGAAGAAAAACATATTTCTCAGAATTTCTGAAGCTTGTAGGATATTACTGGTATTGGTCCCAAGGTGTATGAGCAATGTGCTGGCTTTCTGTTCATTTATTTTGATGCAGAAGACAATGAACCTCCACAAAAGCGTCGTAAATTTGAGAAAGAGAAAGAGTACAATCCACTTGATGCAACTCGTGTTCATCCAGAAAGTTATAGCATAGCTAAACGGTCCATCACTTTTAAATTTACATATAATTTGTCTTGCATTATTGATTCGTCCTTCCTAAATTTAGAATAAAATTTAGAATTTTAATAAAAGAGGCCAAATAAAATCTCATTTTTATATATTCTATCAAAGTTCAAAGTTTTCGTTGATAATAAAATTTCTAGATTGTTGATAGAAGCTGGAATCGATACTTCATATATCGGAAGTTCATTATTGTCTGAAAAATTGTTAGCAATAGAAGATTTTGTAAAAAAACAACCGCCAGAATGGATTAATACTTGGGAATTACTTGCGAAACCTGTATTAGTACAAAATCCACCAAAATTATTAGTAAGTCCCTTATGACCTTTGAGTTTACTTTTAATTTATTTTGATATATTTTGCTAGCTATAAGAGAATTTTACGCTCATAAAATTAGCGATTTCGCATTATTATTCATTTTTCAAAATAATTACATTCAAATTTATTCAGTCTGATGTTAAACAAATGGATTCATTACAAATTGGTGAAGTTGTAGAAGGAATTGTTAAAAATCACGCCCAATTTGGACTTTTTGTGGATATTGGCGTGGGATTTGACGCATTAGTGCATTATTCAACTTTTCCTCCACTTATTCCATCGGTGATTTTATCTTTAAAAGGTTTTTTCGCTTAAAACGATTACTGCTTTATCGCCATACTGCTTTCTTGCAGGTCAATTCAGTCGTAAAAGTGTTGATCAAGAAAGTTGATATGGTTCGAAAAAGGATTGAGATCACTTTATTTTAATCCTAAATGTCATAGATTGTGAATAGTTGGTGAAATATTTTTAATTTATTTTTAAATATGGTTTGTAAATATTTTTTTAAAATTTATTCTTTTCATACCTTTTTTTCTTGCAATTTTCTGGAAGAGGCTGATTACAATGCTCTATCTTCCATTTCTTATTTTTTTGATACTTTTGTTAGTATTGGTAGTTAAAATAGTATTCATTTTTTCTATTTGAATTTTTTAAGAACATTGTTCAAAAAACATGATGATTAATGGTGATTCATTTTGGCTGCATCGCTTCGAATTGAATATTTTGAAAATACATTGATGTTTAAGAAAAGTAATATTTTATTTTCGTCTATTGTTTTTTAGCTTGTTTTTTGTTCGCACATAGCAAGTACTTGTTCCTCACTTTTTCATGATTTTTCATGAATTTATGATTTTTATATTTCAAAAAAAAATTTCTTTTGTTTGACTTAGTAATGCTATTTCTTTGAATAAAAAAAAAGACCAACTGATAAGAACCCATTGATAGGTAATAGAAACTGACAGGAACTATTTTTGTTTGTAAAATTAATTTCTTTTATAACCCAAACATTGCCATCTATACATAAAATTTTCGAAATATTTTTCTTTTACTCTCCAAAATATTAAGTTAAACTATATTTTTAATTTTTTTCAAGTTTTCTTTTTTTGATTTTTTAAAAAATTTCATTTTGGGTATATTATGAAACATCATGGCATATAAAAAGAATCCAAATGTAAGAAAGTGATAAACTTCTATCATTTCTGATTAGGTTCGCAATACGTATAAAAATTTTTGCTCTAAGGAATCACTTGGATGTATAAATAAGTCGCTAGATATCAGTCGAACCCACTTTTCCCGGAGATCCAGATCCCTGATTCTTAACTCAATTAATTGAGATATTAATATAGCATGTCCCCATATACATAAACTATTCCATCTTTGAAAGAAAAACTATAAAATTAGATTGTGAAGGTCGAAAGCATAAATAAAGATGTATTGAATTACAGTTTCATATTACTCATAAAAATCATTTTCCTTTCCAAACTAAGTGATATTTTTTGGCAAAGAAACGATGTTTCGAAATACGTCTCGTTTTTTCTGCTTTTTATAAAATCTTGAAATTGTTTTTTATAAAATTTTTTAAAGATTAAAAATTTTTCAGCGCTGAGATTTATAAAATTTAGGATGAACAAAAAGAAATAAACATTTAATAAAGATTTATAGTAAAAAATTGTTGATAAATTATAACTGAAATTCTTTTATCTTTCTACCTAGGTTTGTTCTAGTGTGATAAGTGGAGGATGATAACCGATGAGTTAGTGATAAGTTTAGGTTCTAATATTGAGAATCAATAGCCTATATTTGAGAGGACTAAATCTATCATTAAAAACCCGAATTTATTCGCCAAATAATTAAATATTCCTGCAGACGATGCCTGCTTCTTGGTTGCATGTTTCAATATGTATTGTTCCTGCTTGCATTTTATATCCTGTCGCTATGTGTTGTATGTTGTACTCTTTCTGAGGTGTTTTGCACAGTCTGCACTTAGAATCCTGCCTCTGTGGTAGATTTTAGCAAATGATTTAACATCCTTGTAAATTCATAAATAATAAAAACTCTAATTTTCATGGAACATTTGTAATGTTTCCTTAAGATAATTCGAAAGCAAAAAGCCTAAAGCCAGAAAAGGTGAGCGTTTATCAGCGCTTACTGATTACAAGGATGAAATTGTTGACATCTCGCCACTTAGCCACCTCGCCCACGTATTTATGATAAATCATCCGATTGAAATGTTTGAATTGTATAGATTTTTTAATTTTAGGAATAAAATTGTCATTACAGTATTTTATGAGGAAAAAATCTTTCATTCGTTTTTCCATTATTTTTCTTCGATTCATATTTGCATTATTTTTTTTGTATATTATATATATATAAATCATAAATAAATCTAGAATTTTTTTTATTGCTGTGAATCGAAACCAAATTCATTGCTTTTTTCTTTCTCGCAAAAATTCTTTTTCTCTGATATGAATTTATATCAGCTTTATCAGAATTTATGATCAGTTGATTTGCAAATACGTCCATAGTCAATCAGTTATATGTGAAATTTTTTAAGTATACGAACATCCTTATTCATAAAAAATAACCTAAATTTTCATAGAACACTTATAAGCTTCCTTGCCTTATTAGAAACACCTGGCGAGTTGGGGGTCGATTAGCCTAATTCTAGTCCATTTATTTTGTAGCCTGCAGCTGCAGTATCATATCTAATAGCCATAGTTCTGTTGTAATTCGTTGGTTTCCTAAAAAGGTGCTAAATGCTAACTTCATGTTTTATTTGACTCCACCATTCAACACCTATATTATAGTAATATTTTTAAAAAAACCACTTTTATCACTAATTTTAATTTCATAGCATTTCAGCTTAAGCTCATTCCTCCTATCGAGCTAAATAAATTTTGCCAGGGAATCGATCCAGGTTTATTTCCCAGAGAGTTCAAGCATCGGCATTCCGATAAGAGTAACAATCCACTGGACTATTCTATTTTATAATATAAATAAGCCCTAAACCATACTAAATTTAACAATTAGCTGAGCAATACATATAACAAAATTCTTTAGCAATTTAACGTTCATTTATTTCGCTCATTCATAAACGAACCTTAGATTTTTGATCATTCTATTATTTGCTGATAATGTTGATAAAACAAAATTTCTAAGTGATCGATTGGACGAAAAATTCACCGATTTGCATTTAAAAGTAAAAAAAAAAATTGATATTCTCGCAAACATCGAAATCGGCTGATGAGTTTCCAGCGAAATTAGTCTCAATAAGAGATCGAGCGATTTATAATTTTTGAAAGATATAACGGAGGTGAAAAATGAATAGCATCAGTTAATTTCTGGTATGGCTGATCCTCCTGAGGAAATTAGAAATAAGTTAACGAGGATCAGCCAGATGGTACCAGTCAAAGCAGAAATACTGTTATACACTATTAGATGAAAAATAGAAATCGCTAAATTAGCGATTTCAAAAGATTGGACCATTTTATCAAAAAAGAAAGGGTTTTTCTTTATTTCTCTTTTTATTCATTCTTTTGGCTCTTCGGGAAAACCTTTCCAGTAAGATTCAGTTGAGATTTAGGATAGCCAAATGCTTGTTGGTCTGAGCCTCTGACTGAAGTAAACCTATCATTAAAAAATCTAACTATCTGAAACCTATATTTCCATGGCCAAGTGATTTTCTGGTGAAAACACAGTGATTATTCAAAAAAAACTACATTATTTTTAAAATTATTCTTAAAAAAAACTTATAAACTCGGACAATCTGTATAATTTGGAAAAAGATAAACGTATAAACATGAAATTTTCCAAAGAATTTAATTTTTAAATAGTTCTAACTTTGCACTTTGATTGTGAATGATTGGTACTAACCATTTTAGATTAGGCTCACTACGCTCGTTTCTTCATTTGGCTAAAAATTTTTAAATTTTTCGCCAGAGAATCATTTGACGATAGAAGTGTAATGTGAGCCGCCAGCATCATCCCACACTTCTTTTTAATGCTAGACTCTTTTTACTCCTATTAACAAAGGTAGAACATCATTACCACCCAACACGATACTCTGAATTATTATCCAGCATTGTCCAGTGATTGTGAGGAAGTAAACTAAAAAAGATGCCGAATCGTGATAGCAATGATAAGATGCTCGAAATATAGGGGCAATCTCTTGGCTTTGCTACCTACTTTGCCTTCCAGTTGGCATAGGCAATGGGAATTAGATTGAATGGTAAGACGCCATAAAAATTGTCGTTGAACCACGTATGCTTTCCTCTCCCGAGAAAAAATTAGGAAAAAAAGTAAAAAATGTGTAAAATTTTCTTCGAAACTACTCTTATTTCGTAAAATTCATGACACTTATTTCCTTTTTTATATTAATTTTAACAGAAAATGACAAAACTGAAAGGAAAGTGAAATAAAGTAAGAATCTGGAAAGATTCTATTAGGAGAACGGTTCGATTTCTTTTGTTCATAACAAATCTTGTAGGGAAATGGGTCAAAAGCAAAAGGATAGTTATTATATGTCAGCCATCGTGGCCATCCTGTATCTTTCACTACTCTCTTTGTTTCAAGTCAACCAAATTTTGCATATTTTTATCAGTTAGAATGCCGCATGATGTAATTATCATTTGATTTTATCACCACTTTATTTTATAATCTATTTTATTCTCATATGTTAGTAAATGGAAAGTGAAATCGTTATCCTCTTTTATCATTCGAAATCATCTTTAATTCTTTTATCCCTCCTTTTTTGACAAAATTTATCAAATGGAAAGATTCGCTGGGAATTGTAATAATAAAAGTATTTTTGGCAAAAATCCCAAAAATTTATGCCAATTTTCCGTTCAGCAATTAGTGTTATTTTGTTGAAATTCGCATAAATTTCCGCGTTTCCAGTTATTTCTGCAAATATTTTTTTAGGTTTCTTGCTGACCACAATTTAAATCGAAACAATTTTATAAACGACAATTTCTCCAGCACCTCCATTCGGATTTTCTTAATGACAGGTTTACCATTGTCAGTTGGAACGACGTGACTTGAAATGATAATCTAGGCAATACATACTTGGCTTCTTAACAATTAGCGAAGCTAATCAAGCGAGAAGTTTTATCAACTGGTAGATGA